CCACATTTTTTCCGTCCCTTCGCCTGTCTGTTAATGTGCTTGGACACAGAGCTCTGCGAACAGCCAGCTTCTTTAGCAATCACCTTTTGTGTCTTGCCCTCCTTGTGCAAGGTGTCAATGATTGTCTTTTGGACAGCTGTTAAGTCAGAAGTCTTCCCCATGATTGTGGTGCCTTCAAAACAAGACTGAGGGACCTTTTAAAGGCCTTTGCAGGTGTTTTGAGTAAATCAGCTGATTAGAGTGGCAGCAGGTGTCTTCTATATTCAGCCTTTTCGGAATATTCTAATTTTTTGAGATACCAAATTTGGAGTTTTCATTAGTTGTCACTTATGAATATCAAATTTAAATGTAATGAACATTGGAAATACATTGGTCTGTGTGCATTGCATGAATATAATGTACAAGTTTCACGTTTTGAATGGAATTACTGAAATATTTTCAACCTTTTGATGATATTCTAATTTACTGGCCAGCACCTGTAGACGGTTCTACGATCCCTGAGCTTTGGTAGATTGCAATCGCTTTAAAATCCTTTACGATCTTATATCGTCAGATAACATGGCCCTACGTGAGGAGTTACTGCTGAGCTCTGGCTGGCAACTATAATGAAACTGAAAGTAAACACGGTCTGCAAGTTTCACTTTTGTAGACAGAATCAGCGGACATGATAATCTGGAGCAATGCAGCACTCCTGGAGCTTTTCTCCATCAGAGTTGGGGTCAGATCACCAGAGACTGCATGGGGACTGTGGGGGACACACACACCTGCAGGATCAGCTTGTTAAAAAAAACTTGAAGCAAGTGTTGTCCAAGCTAAACAGAAGTCCACGGCAGCACAAAGACCGCCCCCAAAACTTCTTTATACCGCCAGCACGTAGTCTTATGTAAAAATGACACGATCGTGGCACATTACCACCACAGTCTGACCACTTATAAACTACCTAAAGCTCCCAGATGCCGACTCACGTTGCGGCAAATTGGTGGCATTGTTTTCTAAAAGAGGCTACAGAAACAAAAGTGAAACTAGATTATGTCAGAGCTGCTAATCAACCTGGTTTTCTATTGTAAGACACCAACAAAGATAAACATCATCGTACAGATTTGTAAATCAGTGGTTTTGAAATATACAAATGCTCCACAGTTTAACAGCTAATATTTCAGGGTGACAAAGCTATCATTTCTGTTTAGCATTAGAACATCTCACAGGAAATAATTGTTGCTGAACTGGTTACCTATCAATGCCACATCGACAGAAACCAAAACAGACACAGGCATAAAAGTAAAGTAAACGTTCCCCTTGAAAACATGGATCTTTTACAGGAATATTGTTTAATGGAACCATAATATGCGTGACAGATTTATCTCAGCTGCTGTCAGAAATCCTTTTATAATCAATTCCATTACACACAGGGGAAAAACATTTACACATTATGTAATTTATAGATATTCGGGTCATTTTCTTTTAGAGTAACTTTATTATATCAGACTGAAACTATATTTGAACATGTTTGAAGTGGTTTTATGGCCCAAACATTTCTTATTCCACCATTGATGTCACAAAATGTTAAGAAACAGAGGGATAGAGCGATCCCAGAGTATTCCTGTCCCAGTTAATGGATCAAGACTTTTTTATGCGTACTATTTAAGATTTGAGAGTGTGCATGTAATGTTATAAGACTAACTCAGACCACCTCAGCCTGATTTTCCTCAGAAGTCCAGCAACCTTATTGTTCTCTTGAGGTGGAGTGAATCTATGATTGTCAAAATTAAAACTGTCTTTGGAAAGTTTAAAATAGTCCCTTTTCTCAAATAACAAAAACGACATTCATAGTTTAATAATTTAAGGCTTTCAATTTTAAAGCCTGGCATTTTGGTAAATTTGCAGACAAAGATAACCTGTACAAATGATAGTTCTCGGTATCAATGGAAAAGCTAACCAAACAAACAAACAAAACGTTGCTCTAGGTTCAAAGGTAATTGACACCTTTATTATAAAATCATGAATAATCAGTTATTAAACATTATTTTCAAGTTCTAATTTATTTGTAAAGTCTCTTTCTACACCCAGTCAAGGGGGCCCAAGGTGCTGAACATAATGTAAAAACAACTAAAACACAATCAAACAGCTGAACAGTAAAACAACAATGATGTTCAAAACATGAGTATAAAACTTAAGAAATAGATTCAAAATACACCTTAAGCCTAGCTTTAAAAGTGGGCAGCGATGTAGACTGCATGTCTTGTTTCTAGTGGCAGTCGGTTCCAAAGACGAGCACCTAGCATTAGGGATGTCCCGTTCCAATATTGATATTGTATATCAGCCCAAAAACACTATCAGATTATATCAGACTGCATCAAAAATCTTTGATATTAGCGGTACGTTTCGCTTTAAATTCCATTCCAGGAAGTCTATCCAGCTGTGCCCAGATCCAGCATGCAAAGTCCACGTGATCAGAGCATTGTGTGTTAGCAAGGTAGCAAGGAACAATGTTGTCCATGTGGCTGTATTTTTCATTAAAGTCCATAAGGCGTAACTAAACTAGAGCCCTCCATCAGCTGATACTGGTGAGAAACAGCAGCTGAACATGTGCAAACACCCCACCCCCGCTCTCATGGAGGAGTGCTGCGGGACGGAGCGCACGACCCTGGTATCGGAATTGAAAAAAGTTGTGTTGGGACATCCCTACCCAGAACTGAAAAGGCACGATCACCTCTGGATTTACGCTTTGACCGCGGTACCACTAGGAGGTCACTCTGACGCGAACGTAGCGATCTTGAAGGGACATAATGGGTCAGTAGTGAGGCTAAATATGGTAGGGCAGTTCCTGACAAAGAGTTAAAAACAAAGACCAGGATCTTCAAGAACATTTTAAAAGCTGAGACCAATGTCACTGGCCACATCCAGTCCTCATTTCTGCCAGACCGGAAAAGTTGATAAATCACTTTGATTGGATCGGTCTGACAACATGAAGTAGGCTAATAAATACAGAAACGAAACATGTAACATGCCATGAAGATATTCAAGAACAAATAAATCCAGAAAACCACTTTTCACAAAACTGTAGGTATTCTGAAGACACAAGAAACAACAGAAACATGATATTGATGAAAATGTCACACTAGACATTGCTTATGCCATTGACACATTTTAAAGCACGCACACTAGATGCCGTCACTCAGTAAGCATTTCAGAGACAGAGCTAGCACAACGTCAGAGCTTCTCATGAGCATGTGAGCTTCTCTGGCATGAGAAACTGCCTGGAGTTACAGGGAGTCTGTGCATGAGTCCGACTCTAAATGCTTACACCCAACCCCCTCCTTTAACATTAAACTGTAATGACCTCAGCACAGTCAAGAGTTGGGAAGGTAGCCAGCTGCGCCACAAACAGCAGCAGTATCCTCCAGAGCCAACTCAAATAGCCTCTGCTGCATAAAAGCACAGTCAGAGATGACACAGACGTACTCCTCTCTGACAAGGAGTGCCTGGCTGGTCTACACAAGCGGTTTAATAATGAGATGGAAAGCTTAGTGCGTGTCCAGCAACAAGATGTTTCTCTTAAGACAAATCAGTGAGTCATGAGTGATTCATTAAACATAATGACAACTACTGACCCACCTTAGGCCTGTTGTTGGGGGTGTGGGTATGTTTGACTACAAGATATGGGTCAGAAAACAACAACCATGCAAAGACAAAACTAATACAAAGCCCACTTTGTTTACAGTGGCAGTTTTGCAAGGATGAAAAGGTGGCTACAGGTGAAGCATGGGCAATCACAGAACTGGCCTTTATTAAACGGACCTGCAGACTTTACAGTCAGTGCTATTAAAGTCAAACATAAAATTATACTGCTTTCGATTAGAGCATGATGGAGAGACTACTTGAAATTTATGTGTAATGAAATGTGCTGCATAAATAAAACTGCTATTGCCACTGTTGCATACATTATTCAGCTCATCGAGCGGGACGATGATAAATGGAAAATGTCAGTTCTAAAAACAGAAGGCTGGAAAACGCCAACATTCCAACAGAGGTGGGGCAGAATTTTGTGAGAAAATGCAAAAAAGCAAGTCAAGTCAGACTCCCAGAGATTTTACTATGATCTCTCCTTCATACTAAAGTTACATAACTTTCTCTGAGGAGAGCTGACACTCAGGAGTCCATCTGCTTCTGCCCTGATTAAATCATATCCTGTCCTGTGGCTGAAAATGGTTATTTGGAACACATATTTCAGACTCTGTGGCCCAGTTCCAACTACAGACCCCAAAAGTAAGTACTTTTAAACATGCTGGTTTAGGAGAGTAGCTGTAGAATTAAAAATAAAAACCTCTTTTATGAAACATATGTTTCATAAAACATATGTCGATGTGCCTGCTGGGACTTATTCAACTGGTTACTGTCCCCTTTGTCTCTGTGTAGTGAAATAGGTCTCTTTATAATTATATCGGTGTTATTATTGATGATAGGCATCCAAAAATATATATTTGCCACAAAAACTACAAAAGTTGCTATCTTATAAGAGATATTTTAAAATGAGAAGAAATTAGTTTAGATTCTAACTTTGAGCTTACTCTTGCATATAAAAATAAACAGATCCACATCCAGATAACCAACTTTAATCAAATCCTCTGAAACAGAAAACAGTTCTGGCCCAGGACGGTCTTCCTCACCAGCCAGATCGATGGAGGACAAAGTGAGGGGACACAGACGGAGGACACCAGAGGGCTCTATTGTTTGGTCGCCCCATATGGGATAGCCAGGAGCTGATTGTCCTCTAGAACATTTGGCATTCAAATGAGATGCAGATTTCACACCGTTGGGTTCATTCAACCCACGTCTGTTCTCCGACCTCACAGAGAAGTCTAAAATCAACTTGGAAAACACGAACCACAAGGAGAAAGTTTCGCCACGAAAACAGAAAAAGGAAAGACCAAGTTAAAGGAAGACCACAAAACAACACTGCGCAGTCAGACCCAAAACAACAAACATGGAGCAAAAGTTACCTTTCTTTAAACTCCTGGCGACGTGAAAGTTCCGGGATGTATTCCACTCAACTTTCCCTTAAACACGATTTAAAAAAAAGCGAACACGGTGATTCTGAACAGATTTAGTCTTATTTTTTCTACCAGAAGAATAAAAGCAGCAGGCAGTCCCGTGCTTGTGTTCCAACGTCCGTTTACTTGCTTCAGAGCGTGGCCCACTGAGCATCCCTTCCCCTCCCCTCACGAGCCTAAGAGCACCACCCCCTGCTGCGATTTAAAGGGCCAGCGTCCCATTTATCCACAGCGCACAACAATGGACAGGACCTCGTATGGAGGGGGGCTGGGGGGGGGGGGGGGGGGCTCTCAAACTAGCTGTTAAAACTCATATTTGTGAGTGGCAAAGATCTTTAAACAGTTCAGAGAGGGAAAAACAAAACTTAACATCAGAAGACATTTCTAAATGATAAAAGTGACATGATGTTTTGACTATTTTTTTCATACAAACAACAAATTACTTGTATCTGTTGTGAAGATCCAATACGTTAGTGTGGTGTCCATTCTCTGTCCTGCACGTTTTTGTTGTTTTGCTGCTCCAACACATCTGATTCAATGGCGGAGTGACACTATTCAGCAATTCACACATTTCTGCATTTTCAAATCAGATGAATTTAGGCAGAGAAACAATTGGAGCATTTAGAATAGTGACTGCCCAGGATTAAACAAAATACTCTGTATTTAGATACTGTCACAAAATGAGAACAGTGATATTGTTGATTATATGTGTTTTCAAAATTCTGAGTTCGAAATTTAAGCAGGTCTCTCATAGGACTGCAATTGTTCATAACAAACTTGCTAAAATAAACCACGTTTTCAGTTGGAAAAACACTGAATTGGTATAGGACACTTTTGTCACAAGTTTTATATACGGTATAGTCAGATCATTTTGGATATTTATGACTTGAATGCAAAAATGCAGAAATTAACACAGCAGTTGTGCAAATGTTCTCTTTTCAATTTATGTTTATTTATTTGGCAGAAGCTTTTATCCAAAGCGACGTATAATTGTTAACCTATAGGGCATGTTGTGATCTGTGGGGGATCCGGAGGAAACCCATGCATGCATGGGGAGAACATGCATCTCCACGCAGAAAGACTGTAGCAGGGTTTCGCACCTGCAACCTTCTTGCTGCGAGGCTACAGTGCTAACAGCTACATCACCATGCTGCCATTTAGTGTCAAAGTGGCTTTGGCAAAACAGTATATTGATTGAATTATTTTGTAATTTTATGTCTTAAATTTCTCAAAATTTCAGACTCACAAAAATTAAACAGAGAAGGCATAAAGAAGAATGCAAGATGACTTTCAGGAGTTTACAACAACTCTAACTAGTTTTGAAAGAAAGGTTTGTCCGATAAACGATTTAAACACAACTAGATGGTCCAATAGTTGTTTTCCGTCTCCACTGTCGAGGCCATGGGAAGCTCCTTTACACAATGCAAAACAGAATGTTACCTTAGGTCATTGATTCCCAGTAAGATTCTATAACTCCACACCTTAACTGTTACTGGCATATTCTGTTGACAGCAGTGCTAAATGATAATGAGAAATGACCCACACAGTGCCTTTCAAAGTCAGGGGACTCCAAAATGCTTTACACTACAGTGGATCATTCACACATTCACACCCTGGTGGTGATGAGCTACAATGCAGCCACAGCTGCTCTGGGACTCAGCGACAGAGGCGAAGTTTCCAATTCCACGTATCATCAGTCCCTCTGACCACCATCAGCAGGCAAGTGGGTTGACTGTCTTGGCCAAGGACATAACAGCAGAATTCTCTGTCTGGTGCTGGGATCAAACCTGCAACCTTCCGATTACTGGACAACCTCAACCTCCTGAGCTACTGCTAGTATATTCATTATGCGTGAAATACCTGTGCAATACCCGATGCACATTTGTATGCCTGTGTCTTTTATGCTGTTTCTTCTTGGAAACTCAATTTTTTTTTGTCTTTTGTTAACATTTCTTCTGATTTCTGAAGGTCACAGTAAAAGCCTTGCATACCTGTTTTATTTTTTTCTTATTTCTCTATGTGCTGCCCTAACAAGTGAAATTCCCCACTGTGGGATCAATAAAGAAAGTCTATTCTATTCTATTAAAAATGTGGCCATTGGCAGAGGTTTTTAACCAAATGCAAGTGAAACACATTTTTTCTTTAATTTTTTTAAAGCCCCATAATATATTTAAAGCTATATTGCCTGTATTTTGATATAGCGCCTTCTAGAGTCCTGGAACCCCCCAAGGCACTCTACAACACAACCAGTCATTCACCCATTCACACACATTCACACACTGGTGGGGATGAACTACAATGTAGCCACAGCTGCCCTGGGGTGCACTGACAGAGGCGAGGCTGCCGAGCACTGGCGCCACCGGTCCCTCCAACCACCACCAGCAGGCAATGTGGGTTAAGTGTCTTGCCCAAGGACACAATGACTGCGACAGACTGAGCGGGGCTCGAACCTGCAACCTTCTGATTGTGGGGCGAACACTTAACTCCTGTGCCACCGTCGCCCCCGCGATATATATATATATATATCAATCGGCTCTTAAAAATAAGTTCTGCCGATGGCCGGTATAGAAAAAGTTTAATATATTGATCGGCCTCTAGTCCATAACATGAAATACCACCACCCCACCCCACCCCCCACCCCCACCCCCCCAAAAAAATTGTAACTGTAGTTAAGGGCCAGACCTACAGTTGTAGTCAGAAGTTTACATACACTTGTAAAAAATATAATATAATGGCTCTACTGAGTGTCCCGTTATTTCTTAAACTCTGATTTTTCTCTGATAGAGTGATTGGAACAGATACTTCTTTGTCACAAAAAACATTCATGAAGTTTGGTTCTTTAATGCCTTTATTATGGGTTAACAGAGAAAAGTGATCACATTTGCTGGGTCACAAATATACATACAGCAACATGAACTAGCAATTTTGGTGACTTAGAAACGTGTCAGTGAACTGAGCTTCATAGCATGGCCTCTTAACTTCTTGTGAGTGATTATGAGTGACTACAGCTGGTGACTTCTCTTAGGCCAGGTAAATAGGGCTCATTGGATACAAACGCTACAATGGGAAAGTCAAAGGAGCTCAGCATGGATCTGAAAAAGCGAATTATTGACTTGAACAAGTCAGGAAAGTCACTTGGGGCCATTTCAAAGCAGCTGCAGGTCCCAAGAGCAACAGTGCAAACAATTGTTTGTAAGTATAAGGTGCATGGCACTATTTCATCACTGCCAAGATCAGGAAAAAAAACGCAAGCTATCACCTGCTGCTGAGAGAAAATTGGTCAGGAGGGTAAAGAGTGAACCAAGAATCACCAAAAAGCAGATCTGCCAAGAATTAGAAGCTGCTGGAACACAGGTGTTATTGTCCACAGTCAAACGTGTTTTGCATCTCCATGGACTGAGAGGCTGCCGTGCAAGAAGGAAGCCCTTGCTCCAAAAGCGGCACCTTAAGGCTCGACTGAAGTTTGCTGCTGATCACATGGACAAAGGTAAGACCTTCTGGAGGAAAGTTCTGTGGTCAGACGAAACAAAAATCGAGCTTTTTGGCCACAATGCCCAGCAATATGTTTGGAGGAGAAAAGGTGAGGCCTTTAACCCCAAGAGCACCATGCCTACAGTCAAGCATGGTGGTGGGAATATTATGCTGTGGGGCTCTTTTGCTGCCAATGGAACTGGTGCTTTACAGAGAGTAAATGGGATAATGAAGAAGGAGGATTACCTTCACATTCTTCAACATAACCTAAAATCATCAGCACGAAGGTTGGGTCTTGGGCGCAGTTGGGTGTTCCAACAGGACAATGACCCCAAACACACATAAAAGTGGTAAAGGAATGGCTAAATCAGGCTAGAATAAGGGTTTTAGAATGGCCTTCCCAAAGTCCTGACTTAAACCCCATTGAAAACATGTGGACAGTGCTGAAGAAACAAGTCCATGTCAGAAAGCCATCAAATTTAACTGAACTTCACCAATTCTGTCAAGAGGAGTGGTCAAAGATTCAACCAGAAGCTTGCCAGAAGCTTGTGGATGGCTACCAAAAGCGCCTAATTGAAGTGAAAATGGCTAAGGGACATGTAACCAAATATTAGCACTGCTGTATGTATATTTGTGACCCAGCAAATGTGATCACTTTTCTCTGTTAACCCATAATAAAGACATTAAAGAACCAAACTTCATGAATGTTTTTTGTGACAAAGAAGTATCTGTTCCAATCACTCTATCAGAGAAAAATCTGAGTTTTAGAAATAACGGGACACTCAGTAGAGCCATTATATTATATTTTTTACAAGTGTATGTAAACTTCTGACCACAACTGTATGTATAGTTATGAAATATAACTCCATAATAGCTAGTTTTACATAAAACAGATTTTTCCCATTTTTTCTCAAAATGTACAGATTACATTAATACTCACAATGCATGTGATACACTCAGGGAAATTTACAGTGTGTGATGTGACGTGTTAGGCATTGAGACTGTGTAGAATCAGCATCTGGTGCTCAGGTGTGAACCTTAGCCCGACTTTTGTTCCTCCACAGATGTCAACCTTTCTGGCAAAGTCAAACTGTCTCACCTGTAATAATCATTATAGGTCTTACGAGCCAATTAGTGGTGCAAAGTTTATGGGAAACTGCCTTTTTGACCAGCCCAGTGAGGCTATATGCAGGAACAGAATGCTTTGATGGGACATTTTCTTGAAGTGGGCCCCTATTCATTTATTTCTCCCCTGTGAGGTTTTGAATCCAGTGCACCAAATGCAGCCAGGAAATGCTACAGTAGAAATTCTGGGCAAGGATTATATTCTTCCCTAACTCAGGTCGGGACAAAATAGTGTGCAAATACAAAATCTTCTGATAATTTCTGAGTCATATCGTTGCTTTCAGTGGTCTAGGATATGTGAATGAGTTTTCCTGATGAAAAACTAAAGTAAACTACAGAAAGAGTGGGTGGGAGGGAAAGAGATTTTTTAAAAGACTACAACAGTTTTAAAGAATGCACATTTAGTTGAAGACCGATTCAGGTTTCCAAAAAGCAGCACATTAGAATAATATCAGTAAGGAGCAGAGAGGGAACGTTCTATTTTTCAAATAAGTATCCTTTCACCAACTGCCAGTACATCCTCTTCAAATCCCCAAACTGCCCTCAGTGAAGCTGACAAATGAGGCAATTAAATTCATGGCTTCAAAGTCCTTTGAACTACACCTTCTGTCTGAATCCCTTAATATTCCAACTGAGGGGTTCTCAAAGCTCATCATGCTCTTTGGTACTTTGGGCTCCATTTTTAACAGGGACCACCAGCCTACTACTTTTTCCTATCATTCATTCCCAAAAGAGATAGGGACAGAAAAACCCAGAGGAAAAAAACTGTTTGGTAAGCGAAACACCTCCTGTCTACAATTCCACTGTCAGAGAAAAAATTTCCATGCCCCCCCCCCCCCCCCCCCCCCCCAAAAAAAAAAAAGAGTGAGAGGGGGATTAGCGCTCTGGACACTCTCGTTCCAATTCCCTGTTCCATCCTATCCAGTATAATCTCCCCTCTTCTCATGCCCGTGTGTTTAGTGGGTTAGCCTCGGATCAACTGACTGACTGTGATCCAATTAGGATCTAGCAGTATCTGGCATTGTACATGTGTCTTTTTCCCTATTGATACAAACATTCAAAACATAACTCACATACTACCGGATGAGCATTCAGAGGAATCTAAAGCAATAATTAGAATGGGTTCGTTAGCTGAAAAACATGGTTGACTAATGAATTGTGGTTATCTGGAAGCACAGAGAAGTCATGAGGGACGGTTGTAACTAGATAACAGGATCTCACATCATCTGCACCGAACCAATTCATTGCTGCCTGGAGTAACACTTAGGTTAGGTGGAATGTCATCAAACAATTAGCCACAGGCAGATCCCAAATGTGCACCATACATACACTTTCAGTCAATACACACTCATGTATTTTTATTCCTTTTTAATTGAATATCACTTACTATATAAGGGGTTCTTTCATTCCAGGAATTCTTGTTAAAATCCTATTTTGACCACAAGGTGCTAGTGTAGTTGCAGCAAAATGAGTGTTTAAAGTCATTACCGCAGAACCTACTTTTAACACTGAATTTGTTGAATTCTGCAATATTTGGCTTTTATTGGAGAATCATCTATTAATTTAAAAATGCATGTAACATATCATATGGCGTGAAATTTCTAAAAGCAGAAATATGTAACCAGTTTAAACAACAAACTTCACTGATGTGAACTGTTCTTCTGCCTGCAAGCTGATGATTCAAATATAGACCCCGCCCACGCCCATTCAATGTATGCAAATTGGACAAATCTGATATTTTCTAATTTGGGCTTTTGCAGATTCTTCTCTTTCTGCTGCACACTAGAGGTCCACCTAAAATAAATTAGCATATTGTGATAAAGTTCATTATTGTACAACAATTTTAGAGACTAAATTGACAAAATGCAAAGAAACAGACTTATTTAATTAATCCTTTGTAGCCTTTAGCAAATTTGCGTTAAACCACGCATGGCCTTAAAACTGTCAAACTGAGTATTAGTTCTAGTACCTTCATCAAAATTCTTTCATTTCCAGTCCTACATGACTCCTGTCTTCTTGGGTGTTATGTTAACATTAGTAAACAAATCGTTTTAATAACAATTAACAGAAAAACTTGCTTTTCATTTTTTATGATTTAAAGTTTCAACACATTTTGTCTATAAATTGTGGGATGACTCTTTGCACGGCTGTGACTTTTGCACAAATATGTTTGTCAGCAAATTTGTCATACATCCCATATCAACCGGCTACACATAAAGAAGGATGCCATTTTGCTAAACTTCTGTCTTCAAAAGTCATCAACAAACACAGTTCAGTAAGACACTGGCTTTGTTGTTAATCTCCATTTTCATGTTTTTCCTCCACCCTTCCACGCATTTGAACACATCAAAATTCCAGCGGACAACCAGAACCAGTAACATTGAAAAATAATTTATTTCAGAAATGTACTGTGATAATATATTCATTCAGATTCCGCATGATAAGCTTTTGTTGCGTACAATGAAATCACCTCACAAACAGAAAAGTAAAAGAAAAAGGAAAAAGATGACTTTTTTTCCTCTTTTGATCTATGGAAACTAGAAACACACCACTGAGTCTTCACTGAAGCATTGTGAGTGCGCCCGGCAGGAGGCCGGATCGTCGCCAACCCTCTGTGGCAAAAAACTCTAGGCGGCTTTAAAGTTGCTGCAGGACAATTTCTTTATACACAGACAAACAGAGAATGATCTGTAAAGCTTACGCACAAGTAGCGTAATCACACACACATGCACACACACGCTTTTAGTGTCTGGGAGTGTACAGTCACACTTTAGTACAGAGTGGTTGATTACACAAAAGGGAAAGAGGTGAGGCAATTCTATGACATCATCTCTTGGCACAGGCTTAGCTCTGCCCAGTGACAGCGATCAGTGGCAAAGGGAAATAAAAATTCAAATAGTTTTTTTTTAACAAAATCACAATTAAGCACATCCAGCAGCTCTCCACAACAGTCCCTGGCAAGTTTTAAAACTTTAGGCTGGGTTTCAAAGCATTTCAGTAGAATGACACTGATGTGTTTATCTGAGCCAACAAGGGTGAAGTATGAAATATGGGTTGTGTATGCTGATCACATTCACAGCCCCACATTTGTCAGGAGTAAAAGGCGGCTCTGGTAGTGCGGTGCCATTGTGGTGCCACGGTCCTGGGCACCATAAGTAGTTCAGTCACATCCGGTGCCGTTTCTCTATGAAGGCAGCTTTGTTCCACAGTAACACACTCACAAAAAGACTTCAACACTTCTGTATAAACAGTTATACACTTCTGTCATAAATCTGCATGGTCCTTCAGTTGCAGCAGAGTCACTGACCAATCATGGATAAACGCTATTTGATTTAATGGGTTTGTGTGCTATCAGACCAAAGAGTTATTTCCATGGAAACACAAAACAGCTTCTTCAAAGTCCATTTAAACTCTTCACGCTGAAATTGGATATAACTTTGTCTGTTTTTTTTATGTTTGTCACCCGCGTGGAAACTTGTCTTTTCATTTGCACAACACGACTTCATCATGAGTCTCCATCTGTGTCGTCTCATTTTTTTATAGGTATGCTTACTATATATGCTGTATATATGTATATCTGTAAATGTTTGTGTTTTTCAAAGAATTGTGGCTTTGTACAGAGATTACTGATGTATTAAAAGAGCAACAACAACAACAAAAAAGGACTTAAATGTTAAGCAAAACGTCATGCAAGTAATAAAAAATAAAAGTGAACAGATGTTTCACTGACTTGTGAAAGAAATAGTCTTAACTGGGAAACTTTCACTCATGAAAAAAGTGCTCTTAAAAGTTGTTTTTTTCTGCATATATCCAGACAAAACAAGAAAAAGAACTTAAGAACAGAGAGATGAAAGAGAGACAGGTGTTGATTCGATTGGGCTGACTTTGCATTATCCAATGCTATGTTGTTCTTTCACATAAGTTCCAGAAGTATCTTGTCCTTTTTAGCAATCTTTACACAAAGGAGGAGAAGCCAGCAATAGGGGCTCGAGACCCAGGGGCTAAACTGCTGGGGGGCCTGTAGAGGGTGCTGTGCTGGCTAGGGGGGTTGGAGCTCTGCTGAGAAGGAGTGGGAGTCCGGCTTCCTTTGGGCCTGAACAGGCTGCCTTGACCCTGGGGCTGGCCCTGGGCTTGTTGAGGCTGAGGGCTGGGGGAACTGAGCTGTGGTGGAAGAGGGGGAAGAGGGGGCAGTGGAGGAGGGGCGCAGTGCTCTGGTTCTCCTGACTCAGACTCAGTGTAGCTGTAGGCCTGTGCTCGGGATATCCCCTTCTGTTGACGACGCCAAGAGTTGTAGTAGGTAGGGTCGCTTATGTAGTGGTTGACAAAGGAGTGGGTCTTCTGTCGATTTGGGTCAACCTCATACTCGCTGTCACTACCCTGAAAGAGAAAACAAGACACCCGTTTTTGGAGTTAGTATAATTTTAACTAATGGAGGCTTAAAACAATGTCGGCGCTACAAATTAAAATGAGTATGAAGTCACGGGGTTATTCCAAGTCATGAATCCAGTCATCCCGTTTCTAAACAACAAACACACATGCACACACACCTATTTTACACACAGTACAGGTACACATGGACAAAATGGTTGAAGGTACTCGAAGCATGATTGGATGGCTGGTTACTGAAGCGTGCACAGTAGACAGACCACCAATACAACATGGTGGTGTTCAGTAAATCTTTGGGACTTTAACCAATCAGAAGGACTTTCAGGATTGTAGCGTTGTAGCCACACAACCCAGAAATATAAGATTTGGTGCTGCTCAGTGAAGAATACCACATGGGATCCACAAAATAATGAGAATCTGGGGTTAAGGATTGGATGGAGACCACTTTGGAGCCATTCACCTAAATACTACAAACATTCAAAGCAGGCAGCCACAGGAACCTCACCAAATGCAGTGGAAGTGTATGTAGGCCACCTGTCCCATATGAAAACACCAGCGCCTCCTATGGGTGAACAAAACAATGGGTTTTACAGTACATCACTTTAATCGAATGAGGAAAATGGCCAAGTCATGATGATGATGACGATGATCACACTAAAGTACAGAACTGTACAAAGGTCTTTGGTCATCCCTTATTGCTCCTTTTCTTGGTTTAAAGCAGGGGTGGGAAACCCTGGTCCATGGAAGGCCGCTATCCAGCATATTTTAGTTTCAACCATGCTTCAACACACCTGATTTCAATCAGCAGGTGATTAACAGGCTTTTGCAGATCTTGATGAGCTGCTGAAGAGGAGAATCAACCACTGAATCAGAAGTGTTGGAGCAAAGACGTGCAGGATACCGGCCCTCGAGGACAAGGTTTCCCCATGCTTGGTTTAAAGGGTCTGATCTTCATTTGAATTTTTTTAAGTGAAAGGCTTTTAAGGTATGTTTAGATAATTTTCCAAGCACTTTTATGCCAAATTGTGTACTTTACATTCTAAGTTATTCACTTTAAGGCCTCTAAAGTATAAAAATAAATAAATAAATGTTCCAAGTTGGGCAAGGAGTGCACCAGTCTGTACAAGTTAGGTCCAAATGGCTAGTTAGCACAAGAACATCCAGGTTAAATGTTTGGAGCTAAATCCTTGCACAATGTGATCAGATAAGAACCTAACTGTCAGGTACAATGCTGACTGATCCCTTGATCCTGAAGTGTATGCTCAGTGAATTATGTTTGTAAGATTTGTGCCAAGGATGAAAACAGAGTTTACCAACTCTCCCTGACTTCATGAGTTCACGGAGAAGAATTTCAGGTACAGTTTCACATCGCTAACTTCCCATCTTGCTGAAAAATGGTCATGTCAGGAACTGTAGCTCCGGTGTTTGTAACAAAAATAAAAGTGATCGCTGATTACTTACTGAGGTTTACTCATGGTCATCTAATTACCATAAAAACACTGTACCAAAGGGCCTGCTAGTGTGTGATCAATCATCTGAGCACAATAAACACATGCACGCATGCGCGTGCACACACACACACACACACACACACACACACACACACACACACACACACACGTGCGCAATCCAGTTAGCCCAAAATTGTCACTGAATAATTTTCCCAGAGAATCAACATGAGTCATGTATAAGGTGCACTACAAAAAGGCATGTTCTGGTCAGATCAGCTTCCTGCTCAAAAGTTGCTGATCGTTCTCACCGTTTCAGAAGTTCTCTAATCTCTTATTTCTGCTTTAATGATCTTTTATTTTTTCCACAGAGACAGAAAACATCTGGCACAAACCCAAAGCTCCTGTGCATGGAGCTTTTCCTCAAATATTGCATAGCCCATATGTCATGCATATGGTGGTGGTCTCAGATTTCCCTCAACATGGTCCATAAGTCCTAAGTCAAACAGCTTTTTCCTTCTGAGATGTCAGAGAGTAACATTTCTAAATAGATGTTCCAGAGGCAGATTTATAATAAACATACTCCTTTTGATGTTTTCTACATGAAATAAAATGTCTCGACTCAAATCAACCTCCTCAAGTCCCTTTTGCCACAGCTAAAATCGAAGACAGATGCTAGACAAGCCACCTTCCACCAAAAGATTTTTGGTAGTTTTCATTTAAATTGACAAGATAATGGTGATGTCTCTCTGTTGGCCCCTGGTAGAAATGTTAAAACTTGAGGACAACCAGATTTGGAAGACATTCCAGTCAAGCCGGTGTGTTAGCAACACAAGACTCAAACACGAAGGTCAACAAGACCCTAAAAGTCACATCAAGGCTTTTACAGCAGTCTTACAGCAACAGCTTCAGGTCAATTTGTTCCTCTGCCAAATCTCACTTCTGTCACCTTGTTCCCTTACTCACACAAAAAAGCCATCTGCTACAGGTCTCTGTACTCTCATCCTATTCACTTTAAATTGATTATTACTTACTTTTTCTAATTTATATTTATCTAAACCCTCATCATGCTCACGTTTTACCCCTTCACACACACATCTCCCTTTCCACATAGTTTTACTACCGTTGGCACTCATTCCACTTCATAAGTTTACTGCTTTGTACTTGTATTAACACATTTCCTGCTCGCTTTACAATGGTCTGTACTTGCACCGTTCTATTTCAGGATCACTTTTCACCAATTGCAATGCATTTTCCATCACTTTGCACTCGACTTGACTTACTTCATGCTTACTAAAGATGCTTGCCATGGCCCTTTTGTGCCTGCCATAGCCCATATTGGACTCCTTTCCCGCTGCTTTGTATTTGCCTTAACCAGTTTTAGGATACTTTTTACAGCTTTTACTTGCCTTGGTCAACTTCACACTCACTTTCCGCCCCTCCATCGTCACCTAGACTCGTTTTGAACTTGTCTCAGGCTGATTTGTGCTCACCTATCGTCTCAACCCATTTTATACTCAAGTTTGACCACTAAAACTATTTCATACTCACTTTTCTTCATCATATTTGGTTCCACCTATTATGACTCACGTTTCAACACTTTGTACTCACTTCTGCCATTCTTGTACTGCACTTGTCATACCCACTTTGGCAGCCACCCTACACTACTAAAATGAAAATATTAGAACTATGTCATGCTAACTCAATGCTTTTTAAGTTAATGTACTCATGTTGCCCTACTCCTGTCCAGGGTCACAGGGAGCAGGTGCCAAAAGTCGACATAAATGATACATAGGTGTGCACTGGTGACTGCTGATAAGAAATGATAATTGGTGTGTACAAAACAGTAAGTTTAAGGTGGAGATACAACTTTAAAAGTACAACCTAACTAGCACCCCATTACCTCACTCTGAGATAAATATTACTATATTCATGGATGGATTGGAAAACAGTGACCCCTACCCCCACCCCCAGCTCAGTCATGTGGTCTTCACAGCAGATACTCTGACTCCTATGATGTTCTTCATATACACTGACAGCTCTTCAATATTTTCCCTCTTACTTTTGGTTTATCACCAATATTAATAACTCGGGGATCCAGCTGAGGAACCTAAAGTAAAGATGCTTAACGATTTGCCTCTGGGGCAGCACGGCGGGTGAAACAGCTCCTTATTTCAGCTCATTACAAGCCAATTACTGCAGCTGAATGCTGGGAAAGAAGCAGGGCCTGAAATGCAGCATTGCACCTCAGCCTCAAGGGAACAGCCGTCTTATTTATGCAACAAAAATGTGCTAGACAGACACATAGCAGGCAGCAGTGTTAATTATTTAACATTTTTTCATCATTTTGATGTTAAATTAGGCAGTGAAAGAGATTAAGAGATCAACATAATTAACTCATGAAACTACTTGACAGCAGTTTATTTATGATCAGAATGATGAAGTTGCTCTGCGTTCCTGCTTCTCGGCGACATAAACAAGAGAAAAATGCCAGAGGAAAATAAAAGAAAAAGATGTGCATTTTTATTGCCATTTGTTTAAGAATGAATGCTCATATTTTACAGACACAGACACAACCTTGTTTTAAAGTTCTGTAAAAAGTTCCATGAACGTATTCTAACTTCAGTTTCCAGTTAAAAACAAACAAAGAATCCGTTGCTAAGCTTGGTGCCCATCCCCCCTAAACTATTGCACTCTCCAGTCCAAAGGGTGGGTCAGTTCTTTGTCCTTTAGTTATGGATCATCACCCCCCCCCCCACACCCCCCCCCCCCCACCAAAAACAACAACAACAACAACAACAACAGCAACACAAAAACAGGGTAGTTTTGGCTGTCTGTGGCTCTTCTTGATGAAGAGAGCACGGCAGGGGTCCCAGAGACTAAATCAATAACAGTGTGTGGGCCTTATCTTTCCAACAGTCTAGAGAGCATAGTGTTATTCAGTCATACAGCAGACTTTACTCTCCATCAAGTTCAAATTTGAAATTGATTAAATAAATAAATAAATAAATAAATAAATAAATAAATAAATTCAAACTGTTATAGCTGGAAGAGGCGAGTTTGAATGCTACACAATTACTTTGTTGGTGGTGGTCAGAGGGGCCGATGGCACCAAATGGCAGCCTCGCCTCTGTCAGACCACCCCAGGGCGGCTGTGGCTACAAAGCAGCTTACCATCCACTAGCAGTGTGTGAATGTGAGAGTGCATGCAAAAGTGCTATATAAGTTTGATGTTTTATTAATTAAACTTCAAACTAAAATGAAAAAATATATATATAATAATAAATGTGACACATAAACATAGACTTACTCAAAAACAGAAACTCTGTATTGTTCTGTTTTTGAGTCGTTTCTGTTTTTGAGTCTACTTACTTGAGTGACTTATTTTGCTTAATAAACACACAAACAAACAAACAAACAAACAAATACCACTTCAAAATATACACATAAACAAAGCTGTATTTAAGCTCCCAGCAACTTTTTATTAGCCCTAGGTACTTTCATAATGTTTGCATTGCGGGATATTTGGGGTGAAATCTTATTTTGTGGGCCAGAGGCTGAAAAGTTTGGTATCTAATAAAATGACAAACATTTGTCACACACGTTTGCGTGAATACATATTAATTACAGAAATGTTATCTTCTTGGCCAAAATATGTGCATCTGGGGCAAAATTACTAGAAGAATTTTTAGTAACCATAAATGTGGACTATTTTTGGCAAAAGCAATTTTTAAAAACTTGTCAAAAACAAAGTATTATTTGCAACAATCCAAACATTACAGACGCTCTTCCTTATTGAGTCTTGACCGGTGAAGCTTCACTGGCCTGTGAGAGGGGCTGGGAAGGTGGAGAAAAGAAAGATGAGGCAGAGGGAAAACACGGTACGTAAAAGAAAGCAGACGCTTTCGTTTTTCGCCATGTGGAATGCTGCTCAGCAGAGAGCATAATCTACAATCCTTCTCTGACTCAGAGATGAGATCATTTTTCATCCACCAGTTTCGGCCTAAATGACACACAAAAACACAGACGCAACCTTGGTGAATGAGAAAGCCTGTGCTATAAAAGAAAAACTGAAAAAGACAGTCAACAGCTTTCTATCTGTAGGCCAGCAGAGCAGTTAAGACAGCATTGTTGCCCTGCCAAGTCAATGCTAGCTTCCTTCAAATCTACTCGTGGCGAGGAGTACAATACTCAACTTATACCTGCTGAGAAAGGCCTCGGGGATTAAAAAAGTACAGACAGCGTCATGTTGTACAGATAGCTTAGAGTTATCCGCTCAATAAAACTTCAAAGAGCATTCCTGGACTTCCAAAGCATGAGTGGGTGCTGATATGGAAGCCTGTCAGGCGTTTGGCAGAAGCCCTGGGGAAACAGGCAGGGCTCTGTACGTTTCAGTCCATCAAAAACAAACGTCAAGCTCTTCGCTGTGAAGTGCGGCACCAGACGGGTGTCATCATCTTGCCGCATTAGGGCTGCGTCTGACATCACTGAAGTACAAATGGTAGATATGTCAGATAGATGATGAAATATCAAAACGATTCGTTTGAGGGCACCTTGTGGTGCTGCGAAAGGTCCTGTTTGTAGTGATGCATCGCAAAGAGATTTTCATTTGATCTGGAAATAGGACTTAGGTTCTGATAAAGGCGGGCGAGGAGAGATGTCTGGCTGCAGACTTCCCATCAGAGACTCGTTTATCTCATAGGTGTTTGCAGATAATTTGAGGAAGAATTCCTAGATCAGAGAGAAAATGCAGGATGAAGGCTAAAAGTGAAAGCCTTTTGTGAAACACTCTACACAGTTCACATTTTACCTTAGAAAGTGGTTTGTTAAAATGTATTCAATGTAAATAAATGTAAGAGATTAGCGAGTGTAGAAGCATGACAAAACTCACGGTGACAAATATTCTGATAATTTTAGAGGCAGATAAAAGCACAAATGATCAATTTTACTCATTGGAGTTGACGCGTAGCAGGGGACGAAGTATTAGACATCTCACGATTGTTGGTAATCTGTGAAGTAACTGTAAAAGAAAAAAAAAACTCCTTGATCTAAAATGACCCTTCCTGATCTGGCAACCAGGCTTTCCTACATTACTGTAGGTTTCCACTGAGATCACTTTGACCTGACGACTGAAAAGGAAATTTAGACCAACTGTTTGGCTGGAGTGGAAACTTTAAAAACAGCTCTTATATATCCCCTTCAGAGTGAATCCCTTCAAAAGCTTACATAAGAATTGGTGTGATGGAGTGCAGTGACCTGAATCTCAGGTGGATGTTTGCTGAGTGGCTTTCTCCACAGGTTTCTAAAAACCTCTGCGTGTCCAGCGAGCACAGTCATTAATCTCTCATCTCGGTGTGCTTTAGCTACATTTTGTGACCTCGGCAGGTCAGATGACCGACACACACACACACACACACACACACACACACACACACACACACACACACACACACACACACACACACACACACACACACACACACACACACACACACACACACACACACACACACACACACACACACACACACACACACACACACACACACACACACACACACACACAAGGGACAGACAAAATATGCAGCACAGCTGACAAAGTGAAGCTGAATTCAGAGTGAATTCAGAGAGATGACAGTTTGCACACACAGACACGGCAAGAAAAAGAAACAAATGCTGCTTTATGAAGACAGGATTAAGATCAGAGGACATGTGGATAAACTACACCTGTGAGTCTGAGATTTCTGAGGGTTTTTCAGTCAGGCTGCTGCTCTCTGCAGGGATTAGGTCGTTGTATTTGGTGCTCACATCCTCGTCTGAATAGTGAAGACTGCCTGGACTGGGTCTGGGAGGAGACCTGGTTGAAAGGACAAAGGTAAACAGTCAGTTTAATGCAGGAGCTCCAACAACACCCAACTGCTTTGGTATTTCACTACAATATTTATATTACTCTCATGAATAATAATCACATTTACTCAACTTTAGTCTTTTTTCTTTCATTGTAGTCCTACAAGTTAACACGTTTTTTTTTTCAAGTAAATCTCATCTGTTAGCTAAACATTTATTGATTTAATGAAAACACGGAGTATTCACAGGATGTACAACTACATCATAAGATGTATGATGTTAGAAAACACATAAAGATATAGGTCAGATATGATTACTGAGGCAGAGCTACAGTTTGTACTGTGGCAGTCATTCTACACACATACAGTGTCCACAACACAGATATTTGCTGAAAACTTTGATACAAACTGTTGTTCATCCAACTCCAGTTGATTACCACTACTAACTAACAATAGCCAGTTTTACCAATATTGAGGTAAAATGTTATGTAAGAGTCATTTATAAATCTGAGCACAAACTCTTCTTTTTCAAGATTTCAAAATGACTTTAACTCCATAATTTATAAACATAATTCAGTTTAGTTTGGTTTCTTTATAAAACGTCAGTTTCAAACAAAAGTCAGTTCACATCTCCACAAATCCAGCAACACGTCTAAAATCCTACAGTAATCAATTCCCATCACCCTCTTATCAATTTTTATAGACATCCATGTTTTTAGACATGTTTGTAGTCTGATTGTCTGACTGGATTTATTTCACAACAGAAATAAATCCTGTAGTTTTTGTTATTTAATGTGATTGAAGCACAACAATAAAGAGTACAGGACCAAGCACTGAACCCTGAGGAACTCCATAACTCTAATGTATGGAAGATTAATAAATGCCCTGTATTTGTGGCACCTTTTTAGGGTTCCACAACCCCCCAGGGTGTTTCACAACACAATCAGTCATTCACCCAGTCACACACAGGTGATGATGACCTTCAGTGTTGTCACAGCTGCCCTGGGGCGCACTAACGAAAGCAAGACTGAAGGCACCACCGCTCCCTCTGACCACCACCAGCAGGCAAGGTGAATTAAGTGTGTTACCCAAGGACTAGGGCTGGGCAATAAATCAAAAATGTATTGTTATCAAAATTTCTGACTTTTCCCATGTCAATAAATTTGATAATAAAAAATGAAAAGGTGTGTGTAGGTTGGCAGCATTCATGCCCCTTTAAAAAGGTGTACCACCTTGAGTCATATAAAAATGTGACTCAACTAATACATGTGACAGCCCCATCTAGTGGACAACTTTTGTTTCTGCGCATACCTGTAGTTATCGTCCATTTATTGTTATCGAGGTGAAACCCTCAATGTATCATAATATTGGTTTTAGGCCATATCACCCAGCCCTACCAAGGACACAACAGCAGCGTCCTTTGGCGGGAGCCAGGATCAAACCTACAACCTTCCGATTACTGGACAACCCTCTCTACCTTCTGAGCTACGACTGCCCCTTTATTAACATAAACTGTATAGCGAGCAGACCAATGTCTGAGACCATGACAGTATCACTAGTAACTTTCACCAAAGCTGTTTCTGTGCTATGGTGAGCTCTAAATCCTGACTAAATCTCCTCAAACTGATCATCTTTGTGTAAAAGCGTACTGAGCTGCTCTGAAACTAATCACTCAGGGATTTTAGACTCTTTTAATGGATGTTTGGCTGTCCCTTTAATAGATCTGTTTGCCTGAATTTTAGCTAAATTCTTTAATTAGGACAGCCATTTGCCTTTAGTTTAAAACAAAACTCTCTGCTGTGACTCAAGATTTCCTTCACCCTCGTAACTGTCTGAGACATTTGCTTCGTACATCCGTCTGCATGTGAATAATGTACGTTTTAATGAGAATCACATGACGCTTGTGAGTCTGTTGCTTCCAGCCAGTGTGTCCTGGAATGAATAAAGCCCTGATTCAGTCCTCTCTGAGGAATGTCAAACCACTTGGCTCTTGTGACTAAATTATAAACAGAACTTTAGCAGGGGTCATCAGATGAAAAGCAGCCTCGGGCTTCGCTTGGGCAAATGCTATCGCTGCCTACACCAATGATGATGTGAATTAAACTGTCAGAGGCATGATGAGCTGATCAAATGTGTCACTCAAATCTAAGCTGAATGTGACCGAGCAATGAGGGGCTGCTTTGCCTAACGGGGTTGGGTAGTGTGTGTGTGTGTGTGTGTGTGTGTGTGTGTGTGTGTGTGTGTGTGTGTGTGTGTGTGTGTGTGTTTGGGGAAGTCAGAGAGGATGAAAGTTGAATAAGAGGAATTGAGGAAACACACGATGAACAAATATTTCCAAAAATGGAATTTTCCTGTCAGGGTTCTCTTTTTATTTCAAGCAGACAAAAACAACATCACTTGATACTAAATCTCCTCTCTACCTTCCACTGTCACTGGTCCTGCTAAACAAGCACCTATCTGTTTCTGCTGATCGGTGCTGCTTCAGCGGAGATGAATGGGACAAACTGTTGACTTTCCAGAGTCGACCGCCAGTCTCTGCTTGCTGAGCCACACAGCCGCTGTATGCATCCTAACAGCATTTACATAAGTGTTTTGCAAATTAATTTATGTTTGAGGAATTTAGAAAATGTTGTGGGTAAATTCCAGCAGCTCTCACAAGGGGTGGCCCTTTGTGGACAAAATGGAAAGCTCCACAGGGAAATCACCAAGCTGCAATTCAGTTATGCCTGATGACTTAAATCAAGCTCAAGTTAATTCATTTAACTTCAGCAAGAAGTTCAACTTCAACAACAGGAAACTGATGTCTGAGGTAATTTATTGGTGTTGTTTCTTATTTTTGTAGTTTTATCAGAAAACATAAATAATAGAAACAGTGGTGTGTCTAGATCTATTAAAATGGGGTGGCCCAGGTGAGGCACAACTTTGTGCATGGGTGGCACCAATGGTTATGCTTTTTTTTGTTTTACCCTCAAGCCTTTTGTAGACAATGAAAAGCCCATTTAAAGGGAAATTAGTGTGGTGGCACCTGGGGTGGCCAATCAGATTCCAAGGGTGGCATATGCTACCCCAGGCCACTCCCTGGACACGCCCCTGAATAGAAAACTGATTCGACTTTAACAAATACAACATGTCTTTTTTTTTTTTTTTACATAGTCTGTCTTTGTTTTGGACGTGACTAGTTTAGTGTAAATTTAAAATTAACTACCCACTGCCATGGAAACTATCATTTCACTCTTAAGACTGAAGAGACTGAATATTTCCTACAATGACTGATATGGTAGCAGTTATTTGTCTATATTATTCTAGCATAGATACATTTGGTCAGTACAAATTCTGTCAATTTTTAACCCGCATTAAATGAGAACAGTAATATTGAAAAAAAGTAGAACGTTGAAACGTGAAGACCAGTGAACCTCACTGGCGGCCCTCGGGCCACGCCTGGCCCGCCAGACCTTTGGGCCCTGACGCCCCCCAGTTGGGGGACTTTTAAAGTTAAGCAGCAAAATTCATGTCCCAAATATCAATAATTGTTTACTTTCTCCAAACACAACAAAAGCAACAATCAAAACTGTTAAGATAGAAAACAAAACCATTTTAAATATTAATCAATTAAGATACAACTATTTTAGAAGAGCATCCGGCCCTCACAATGTCTGCTGGAAAAAACTCCGGCCCTTGAACAAATTTAGTTGCGGACCCTTGGTGTAGAGGTTTGGAGGGACCTTCTCTGGTCTGGGGATACTCCAGGAGGAGTTAAAGAGTGTCGCTGGGGGAGGGACGCTGCCACCATTCAACATTATATAAGTGGCAGAAAATAGATACATTTCCTTCATATTTATTCCTTTGTAATAGCTAAAACTTAAAATATAGATTTTAACCTTTTCATTTAATTTCCTGTTAGATTTGAGTTATACTTTTATGTTTTATTGTTATTCAACAAATTAAGATGCACTTTTTGAATGAAAAACATGTTAAAACTGAACATCACTGGATTAAATGGGGAAGAGTGGTTTTCCGCTGATCCCAGTTTCCTTGGGCAAGATCCTGGAAGTATATTTCATCTTATCAAGGTGTTTGACACAGAACGGGAGCATTTGAGATTCTGGTACACTTACGATTTACCTGGACACATTTGGCTAAACATCTGGGCAAACTACTGCAAATGCTTCCCATCGTCACGTGGGAAAAAGTATGAAAAATGTTAAAATGTTTGTACATTTGGGGAAAAGCCACAACTAATGAAATAACTTAAAAAACCTTGCCAGTAAACAGATCTGTACAGATCTGATTTCTGAAAAACATAAAATAAAGTAAACCTGATCCAAGAATAATTATAAAAACGCTTTTTTGCAGCCATAATTTAATGTTTGTTCTTTTAAACGTGGTGCTAACTGACTGTGCTCTTGTTAGCATTGTGTTAGCATGAACCTTAAAATGTGGATTTTCTCTGAACTCCTAAGAAAAACTACCCACACCAGTTATGTTTCTCAATCACTGAGAAACATAACTGAAATAAATGATGAGCAAAAGCTGACTAAATGAAACAGAAACTTTGACTTGTTGGCAGTCTTTTCCAATCCTTTGGTCAGCTGAATTTGAACAGATCCAAAGAAAAACCCAAGCCAGTGTGAAGGATTTGTTCCCATGAGGCTTCTGGGACTTTGTGATATACTGACTATCAAAACACAAAGATTGACACCCACTCTTGCATCCTCTTCGTGAGTCTCAAACACTTTGGAGTGAGATTTAAATTATTTATCAGCCCTCACTCAGGTAGAAAAAGGTCCACTTAATCCTCTCACAGCAAACTTCAGTCAGCCAGGTAAGGAGCAGGGAGTGAAATCCAATCTGCCCTTGGTCTTTACGCAGCATCGGGCACTTCTCGCATTGCGTTCGCCTAAAGTGACTCATTAACATGTCTGAAGTGTTAAAGAGCCTGTCACTCAAGTGTGTATAATCCCATGTTAATCTTCACAGAGAGCTCTTTTAACCTCCAACCAGACTGTCAGGGTTGGTTTGTAACTACTGAAACACATTATCCTTCTTTAGAGTGATAAAGGCAGTTGATTTGGACTTTCATAAAGACATACACAAAGTAAACACCTCTCCGTCGTCCTGGTCATGCTGAGTGTAAATCAAATGGGCTTCTTTGGTTTGTTCTTGAACTTTCACCTCTCATTGAACTTGATGGGTGTGTGTAACATATCAATCTGGTAATAAGGACTGTTAGATCAACTGTGGAGTGAATAGAAGAAACAAGTGTGTTATCATTAGGATGGTTCTGGTATGAAATAACAATGGCATTAAGCGTGGCCACCTAACTTTAGCACATCACATCAAACAACAATAGATGAAGCCTGAGTTTGAGATGCTATTTGGTTTAATTTCAAGGCAATGCGTAAAAATGTTACAAATATTAAAAAGTAACTTAAAAAGTCTAAAATAAAACTCAACATTTTATGCACTACACACACTGAAATAAAAGCAAAGACAGCAGCAATACAGATCTGGTCGTATTGGAAAAGATGTTAGTCTGTTTGAGAAGGGTCAGATCTTTGGCATGCATCAAGCAGAGAAAACATTTAAGGAGATGTAGAAATTACTAAATCTGGGTTAAGAACTGTCCAACACATTATTAACAACTGGACTGATGAGTCCAGATGGACCCTGTTCCAGAGTGATGGTGCATCAGGGTAAGAAGAGAGGCAGATGAAGTGATGCACCCATCATGTCTAGTGCCTACTGTACAAGCCTGCGGGGGCAGTGCTATGATCTGGGGTTGCTGCAGTTGGTCAGGCCTAGGTTCAGCAACATGACGTGCTCCAAGAATGAGGTCAGCTGACTTCCTGAATGTTCTGAATGACCAGGTTATTCCATCTTCCCTGATGGCACGGGAATATTCCAAGATGACAATGCCAGGATTTATTGGACTCAGATAGTGAAAGAGTGGTTCAAGGAGCATGAGACATCATTTTCACACATGGACTGGTCACCACAGAGTTCAGACCTTAACCCCATTGAGAATATTTGGGATGTGCTGAAGAAGGCTTTGTGCAGCGGTAAGACTCTAACACCATCAATGCAAGATCTTGGTGAAACATTAATGCAACACTGGATTGGAAACACATGTTGTGGCACTGCAGAAGCTCATGGAAACACTGCCACAGCGAATGTGTGTGTAATCAAAGCTAAAGGCGGTCCAACGAAATATTAGAGTGTGTGACCTTTTTTGGGCTGGGCATCTAATAGCTTTTGTGAAATAATTTAAACTAAGATATCATGTTTGTAACTGATGGAGACTATTATATGAGTTCAAAATATGTATGTGTTCGGTGATTCGGTAAATTTGGTGGTCTTTTTAATTGGATCGAATCCAAAAGTGAATCAATAGTAAGTGCACACCCAATGATCTCTCTCTGAGTTTCAATCAATCTGTTCCAGTGGTTCAAGTCTACATAATGTACCTGAATCATAACTAAACTGACTAAATCCCCATATTTAACAGTGATTTCCACACAGAGAACTACCATGAGAATCAACCGTAAGTGGCATTTTCAGTCTGACATGACTCTGAGTTAGACTGGGTAGAGTGGGATCATGTGATTTTTTATCCCGGCATAAGACCAGAAATCATGATGTGGCATTAATCTGTAAGTGGAGGCTCAGGTGTTGGAATTTTGGATTTCTCCACTATGGGTCGAGTTCAAAGAGACCCGATTCTCTGGTACATCTGTGCATTCTCTCACCCCAGCCTCCCCCTTCAAGTCAGGACACACAGTAGTAACAAGCTGCCTGGAAGCTTCTCAAAGACCTGTGGCTGCTTTGATCTGTCCTCAAGGTCACAAACACGCGCGCGCACACAAACACACACACACACACACACACACACACACACACCTGAACAGGTTTCTCATATTCTTCTACATGCACAAGATAATCCCATTTGACCATGTGTACACATACTCATTTGAGAAAGCCAAACTGCACCTTCCTCCTCCTCCAAATAACAGGCTACTGCTGTCTACAGATCCGTGACAGCCTTTTTATTCTAAATCCAACTCTTGTGCACACTGTAAACAGGTTCTGATTATTTGATTCAACATGTGCAGTCCCATCAGGCCTAATGACGCTATCCCTGCAATGTTCTAATAAATGTGTCAGAGAACTAGGAAAACGGGGACTCACAAACACACTTTCAACTGAAGATGGTCTGTTAATGTGAGTTGAAAATTGTCTACAAGTGCAAAGTGTCTAACTTTGACTTCAGAGGGTGAAGTCTCACCTGGTGTAGACGCCATTTTTCCGACAGAAGGAGTTTTTCACAGACAGCCTCCGGTTGTTGAGCTCCAGAGCCGGGAAGCGGCCTTCATCGAGGCTGACCATGTCTCCATGGGTCAGAGCGTTACAGTTGGAGTTGTTACCTGCACACACGTACAGAGACACTGTGTGACCACAGGCATGTTAGTGTCTTGGTGGAACTGACATTATCAGCAATGAAGATTAAAAGAAAGAAAGAAAGCTATAGATAAATGCTAAATATGTGGCTACATTGAGTGAACAGTTGCAAATCATGATACAGGTGGTCAGTGGTGTACACATATCTAAAGCCCATATCCTGCATGTTTTAATTTTAGCTCCCATGGTTGAATTACCTATTGATCAGGTCATCAAGTTTTGCAGAAGCTTGTTAATCACCTACTGATTAAAATCAGGTGTGTTGAAGCAGAGAAACCTCAAAAATATGCAGGATGGTGGCACTCGAGAACAAGGACTGGACACAAAATACCATAAATGTGTCTCATCTAAAACACATTTGACTATCTAAAACACATATTTCTGAGTTTCTCTTGTTCTCCAACAGGGTTAGTATGTTCCTCCAAACCTGCTGTATTATGAACAATGCTGTCTATAGGAGAACCTAGGTACTGTAGGGGAAAGCAGTACTTTATGAACCTCTATAGTTAAAAATCCCATTACTCAGTTACATAGATGGGATTCTTTGTACAGGTGAACACTCGAAAACTCAGAATATGGTGCAAAAGTTCATTTATGTCAGTAATTCAACTTCAAAAGTCAAACTAATATGTCAGATGGACTCATTACATACAAAGCCAGATATTTCAATATTATATATTTATTTGTTATAACTGTGATGATTATGTCTTACAGCTTATGAAAACCCCACAATAAAAATCTCAGACAATTAAAATATTGTGGAAAAGTTCAATATTCTAGACTCGAAATTTCACACACTAATCAGCTAATGCACGTGTCAGACACAAGGCCCACAGAGAATTTTTATGTGGCCCGCGAGATAAATATCAAAAATATATAAAAAACTGACCCGCTGGCTGATTTTACCGCAAATACTACAACTCCCATGATGCTTTGCGGCGTTGGAGCCGAACCGCCCCCTCTTTTGTGTTTTTTCCAGCGTCTGCTGCCGGTGTCTGCAGCTCTCTGTCTCTGACAAACTAACTACTCCTCTCACTCAGCGCCGAGTTTACTCAGCTAATTGCCGACGTTGAAGCCCAGAAACGGAGATTTTAACCGCTCAGTAATGTGTTCACGACTGAAAGAGAACATTTTCCAACTAAATTCCAGACAGAGGACACGCTCAAATCAGCATGACTCTGTGGCTGCTGTCGTTTTTATTTTTCTCCCTGACACAACAACGTGGTCAAGCTGCTCAGATGCTCTCCATGTTCATCAGCACAAACCGATGTGAGCACCTGTTGTCATCTAATGTTGTCATTATTATGATGAAGATGAACAAAACAACAGGAGTCTCCTCCTCAGCTCAGAGCTCAACCCCATGATGCAGGTATCTGGCTGGAACAGGTGAGCATCACAGTAAATCAGTGGAGCAAACTGAGCTTTAAATATTTTGGTTTTATGCTCTTTTTCTGCTCCAAAACATGAAAGTTAACAGGTGAGATGTTGCATTTTCATTTAAGATAAAATTATATTTCTATTTTGTTGTTGGTTCGTGAGAAAAGATTTAACCTACAGTAAACAGGAAGTGGAAAGGCTGCAGATAGATGAATAGAATAGAAAATCCCTTTATTGTTCCTCAGTGGGGAAAGCTAGACGTCACAGCAGCGATGACACGTATTACAGGAGAAAAAAAGGAGAATAAAAAATAAGAAAATGAATAAAAAACAAGAAAACATAAATCCTGAATAGATTTTAAAAACACTGAATATACCACAAGTAATAAATACCATTGATGCATTTTATTTAAAATTGACTTGCTCGTGTGTAATTTGGTTAGTCCACATTCAGTGTTAATGCAAAAATAAGTTTGTTTCCAAAATAAAAGGTGCAAAATTACATGTATGTTGATAAAGAAAATGTGCAAATTTGCCGTCACTTTTTCAAAAAATATTAAGTTTGGCCCGCAACTTTGTCCCAGAGTTTCTTTTCAGCCCAGTGTGAATTTGAGTTTGACACCCCTGAGCTAATGCATCCAGAACAACTGCAAAGGGTTCCTGAGCCTTTAGATCAGCGGTCACCAACTCTGATCCTCGAGGGCTAGCATCTTGCACGTTAGCAGTTTCTTTGCTCCTACACATCTGATTGAAATGAATGAGTAATTAACAGGTCTGTACAAAGTTAAACATGGTAAAGAGAGGATTCAATTATTCTATTAAGGTGTGGTCAAGCAGGAAACACAGAAAACTAACAGGATGGCAGTCCTCGAGGACTGGAGTTAATGCCACCTGCTTTAAATGGTCTCTCAGTCTAAATTTAAATAATGGACTTTTGCACCATATTCTAATCTTTCAAGTTTCACCTGCATACAAGAGTAAATCTTATCAATGGCAGTAACATTTCGCTCTTCTGGTGCATCCAATAGTCCACATTAGGAGGAATTTTAAAAAGTGGAAAAAATCCAATGTTTTGGAAAGTCAAACACTGTAATTTGAAAACTTCAGCAAATATTAAGACATTCCTGTCAGACTTTACATTTGGCCCCACTAAAAATTTAGCTGCTATGGGAGAATAGTTATGCTCATACATAACCACAGAATGTAATTAAAATAAATGTGAGTGGGACAAGACGGCTTGAATCTGCAGTCTCTGGGTCTGCAGCTGTGTACTATTGTGGAATTTTCACAGGGGAGGCGGGGTTTGATTGAATACAAACATCTTATTTCTAGGTTGAAGGAATGGCTTATTTAATTAAAAATGACATCTGAATTGGGCCAACTGGAATATTTGATCATATATTGTGCCATATATTGTTTTAGGTGTAAAATAGCATGATACAGTTTCTTTAACGTTTACAGAAAAAAAACAACTCAAGATGGACAAAAAGCCTTTTGCTAGAAAAGCTGGATTTGCAAATTTTCCATTTAAACTTTTGTACAGATCACACATTCAGAAAAGATTGTTTATTCATTTGGAATAAAGAAGACCAAATCCATGATAACACAGATAGGATATCGTTAAATGGAGATATGTGCTTTTCCTGTACTGTTGTACTTTTCCAAGTTAGATAAAAAGATCAGAACAAAAAGAGCCTGGTGCTGGTTAACTCAGCTGCCTCAGGGAACCACTAGCTGCCTGGATTGTGTATTCCCTTCCTTCAGAGAAAGCATTGGTGTGCTTCCCGTTTTGAGACTTTGGTAGCTGATCTAACTGCTTCTGGCCTTGTAGCGAGCAGACAGCTACAAGAACAGGATTGATTTTTGCATTTAACTTTCAGCAGGAAAGTGGATAAAACTGCTTCCCGAAATGCTGAAATATTCCACAGAGTTTAGCTCATCCAAAGGTAAGCATCAGAACAAGAAATTTTATTTTTCAAAGTTTTGCTTTAACCACAAACATAAATGGCACTATACAGGTATAAAAATAAGAAAGTATGAAAATCACAGACTGTCAGGATGTGAATAATGCCACAGGAAGACACTTCTTGACATGTTTCAGGTTAAAGATACTTTTGAGGTACCACAGCTGAACTTTAACCTCTGTGGCTGCTTCAAGGCGAGTTTAAGGTCAACCGGTGGTTCCACAAACACTCAATAGAAGAAAAAAGCCCCCTGTAGGTTCAATAGACAGGACCAGATCCCAAGACAGAGGCTTTGAGAGTGTCTTTGTGTTGGACTGAGAATGAGCCTCTTGTTTTTTCTCTGTCAGTTAGAAGGATGGGCACTGACCCACAGGGACCCCTCCCCTGCCTGTGAGCCAAACAGCCGCTGAAAAACTGCTGAGCTAAGGGGAAATACTGGTTGATGTCACAGCTGCACTGAATGGACAAACAAGTCCCCTTTTCCAGCTTCTCTCCTCTCTTTTTCTAGCCTTTACTCCCGCTGGTTCAGTCAGAATACACAGCCAATCAAAAGCTGCTCAAATTGTGCAATTATACTTAAAGAAGGAAAGTCATCAGATTCTGGTTTTTCCACATCACCACTTCAGAAACAAGAGGCAATCATCCCAGTTAACAGCAAATTTATGTTCACTCACCTGATTCTGACTTTTTTGCGTACTTCTTGCTCTGCCCTCGGATGATGAGGATGAAAACCAGCAGCAGGATGAAGATGAGCCCCACCAGTGCCACCACCACCAGGAACCACCACTCCTCGTAGAACGGCGCCACTTTCTGAGCTAAATCAAACACGGCAAAATTGAAATGCACGCTTGTTAACGACACACAGATACGTTTCTGTGAAGTCCTAAAGACCTGAGGGAATTTAATTAAGTTTGAAATGTAATGTAAATTCAGTTCATTCACTTCTATTAACAAACACATGAAAGCTCACCAGATATGGAAGGAGAAGGCAGACTTGGAGAGCCGTAGCCATAGTCGTTCACTCCAATCACCCGGAAGTCATAGCTGACGCCTTGTTTGAGTATATCCATGCTGAAGGTGTGCGACGTTGCATCCTTGGGAATATCCTTGATTAAGATGTCCCACAAACCCTCGTCTGGAACAGAATTCATTCATTTCTTTCAGGCAGGAGGAGAATTATTAAACACTGAACTACATAAACAATGTCAGCACGCCATTGCTAACAGGCTGTTTGCTTCTTTTTAATATAAAGCATTTGGCTAGCTTGCAGCTCTTGCAGTAATTGATCATTCCTTCAAATATGACTCAATCCATCAGCTTAACAGCTCTTGTAAAAATTTACTGCGGCCAAATCAACAACGTAAACAAAGGCTTGGCCATTTCTCAAATGAGGCAAAGCCAGAAGGCTTCCAGCGCGCTACAGAGATCCTTTATTACACGACACTGCTTGTAAATATCAGCGGAACTGTGACAGTTTCAATGGGGCACACAAACAAACACCAGAGTGCCTCTGTCAGACTGCTGGACTTTAACTTAAAGCGGGTTAATACAACTAACACAGCTGGATTCAAAGGTGAAAACATACTTTCTAAGCTGGTATGTGAACAAGCATAGGTAAGGATGTGTGTGTGTGTGTGTGTGTGTGTGTGTGTGTGTGTGTGTGTGTGTGTGTTAAATGGTTGATTTTATGTGAGAAAACATTCTCCAACAACCATCGGGTTCTAAAATACTGGACTGTTTTTAACCTGGAAGTGGTGAAGCACACCCTTTCCCCAAGAGACACCCATCCATCACTCTCTTCATTCAACCAGGACATGTCACTCCAACTGAAACAGGATGCCAATCCTCTCAACTGCAGCGACTGAATCAATAACCCATTAAAAGAGCAGGGACACGGAATCAGAGGCAGCAGATGTTCACATCTATCGCCGTATTCACAAAGTCACAGGAGCTCAAATCAAGGAGGATCAGCTGAGGCTCCCACCTGAGGGTCTGGCCTCGATGACATAACGTGTTATGGGAGCACGTCCCGGGTCTCCGCCAGTCCAGTGAATGGTCAGGCCTGAATTATAGCGTGTGATGAAAGGTTCTCCAGGGGGTCCTGGGGCTCCTGAGAGGGAATAAAAAGGTTTAAAACAAATAATCAACAAGACTCATATGATAAAGGAGCCTTTGTTTGTGAAGAGGGGTTTCATGGAGGAGTCATGGGGCCGTGAGTGCCTGACCTGCAGCAGATAGATGTTACAGTGATTTCAGTCTGGAGAATCAAGGCCAAACTCTCATTTAGGAGTCACACTAACAGCTGAAGCAGGACTCAATCAAGAGCTAGTTTCTACCAGCTGATAGAACCCAAACTTTAAGGTAAAACACACCAGTGGTATAACAATACATTTAACAACATTTCTCTATTAATATTCACCCACACTATTCTATTATTACTATTACTTTTGCAATGGTCTTTTGACTGGTCTTCCCCCAAAAAGCCATGAAGCAACTGCAGCTTATTCAGAATGCTGCGGCTAGAGTCGTAACAAGAACCAAGAGAACCGAGCACATCACTCCTGTTCTTAAATCTCTACACTGGTTACCAGTAAACTACAGAATTGGTTTCAAAGTACTTCTACTAGTTTATAAATCACTCGGTGGTATGGGGCCAGAACACATGTTGGATCTCCTTCCTGTATATACACCCATCAGGGCTCTGAGATCCTTAGGAAACAGCCAGCTGGTAGAACCTCGGGTCAGAACCAAACAGGGTGAAGATGCTACACACAGATGGAATCAGCTTCCTCATGACTTCAAATCTGCCCGATTCTGGAAACGCTTTCATCCAAATAAAAAACTTTCATGTACTCGTCAGCCTTTGAATGAAAGTTTCCTATGCTGCACCTTCTGCACTGTAACTGCTCAGCCTTTAACTTTGTCTTTTTTATTCATAAGTTTGAAATTAGTGTATGAGTATTTTAATTGTGCTGTCATGTTGACGTTAATGTTCTTGCTATTCTTTCTAATGGAAAGCACACTGCCTCAGTGCTATATGCGCTATACAAATAAAGCTGCCTTGCCTTGTCTATTACCAAGCATTGATGAACTACTGAATCACATTTCTTTGTGTACATGAGCTCCTGTAACAGCTCCTGTAACAGCATAGGAACCACCACACTCCACCCACTGATTCTCCCCTCTAGTAATACTAGGATCTGCTGCTGCTAAGAGAAGGACTTCTCATAACCACTTCCAACAAACACACCTTAAACTACATGTTTAATTCTAGACATCCACTGTGGTTACCTTCCCCCGGTCCTGTGGTAATGTTGGCTTCAACTTCCGGACCGTAGATGAAGGTCTTGGCCCGAATGCGGAAATTGTACGTGACACCATCAGCCAGGTCTCGGAGCTTCAACCAGAGGGGTCCGGTCCCCTTCACATCCACCGTCACTGTCTTACTGACGCCTGGGGGGGAGGGGGAGTGAAGACAGTCGGCACAGGCCACTGAGGAGTCTAGACAAACACATCACATTTAAAGCAGGTCTTACATTGGCCAGCCAATGGAGGTGCACACTCAAACACACACACACATGCTCAACTATGGTATTATTATGACAGACAAAAAAGCTTGAACTTTTTAACCGTGTCATTAATTATTTAGGATAAGATCCGTAAATCTCTCATGCGCTGCAATGGCGCACAATTTGAGGTTGATGAGGGAAAAAAAAGTCAAATAATGATTTCTAGAAAAAATATTATGCATAAAGCTGCCATACAAGCCAACAGCTGTTCTGTGCAGGTTGGTAAAAATGAAGCAGTACCTTCTACAGGTGTTAAGGGCTCGTAGACCAGGCGGTAGCCCTCAATGATGCCATTAGGGAAGGTGGGGTCGCCCCAGGACACGTTGACTGAGGTGGTGGTCAGCTCACTAAAGTGTATGAAACTTGGGGCACTTGGAGCTGCAATATACAGAGGTCAAAGGTCAAAAAAGGCAGGAGCTATAATCAGTTAACTCAGTTTGTTGAAAAGGGCGTTGCAGGTTTTTAAGAGGCGATTTCTGGATGAAAGCATCAAAAGATATCCGAGTGAAAAAAGGATCAGAAATAATACCTGCGACTTAATCAACATGTTTATGAGAACATTATGCAGTGGTACGTTTTAAAATGGAAAAAAATACCAGAATAAAATCATGGAAACAAATTATTAGTACACACAAAACATTTAAATTGGATGGCTCTGAAGTTGCTGCTTGTAAATTGGGGCCAGCCAGGTAATAGGTGTAATATCAACTGTTACTTTAGCTGGAGGCTTTGTGGAGCTCACCACTGTTTGGTGATTACTTTCATTTCAACAAACTCTACATCTGCAGCTTTTAAACAACCCAAGCTGTGGCAGCTCTAGCTGCAGGTCCAAAGGCAAAAAAGGAGAAAAAAAAAAGAAATCTACAAAACTGTGGATGCTGCAGAACTGCAACTTGAAATTATTGGCTTTGAAGTAAGTCTCTGTCCTTGCACACAAACTGCACAACATTGATTGGGTCAGCACCACAGTGCTGCTAAAATACAAGCAGGTTAAAAGGGTCTGCTTCTCCAACAAACACTGAGTGACCCGGGTCACAGTCACACTGACCACAGTCTGGACCCCATTACCAATGGCTGAGTGAGTATTTGGAACATTGTTTTTCTCCGTTTGTCTTTAAAGTGGTCCTTCACTGAGAAACCATTTTTACCTATTATTACTCTGAGCTTTTCACGCAAGCTGAACATGAAAATAGTTTCATATACCTACCTCCTGCATTAGCTTCTGATAGAATACGGGGACGGCTGTTGTTGGTTTAACGTCCAGGAAACAGCAGAGAACATCTCAGCTAGTAGAAGCTAACTGTTAGCATTAGCAACTCCCCCACACAGCCGAACTCTTCCGAGCTTGGTTTATTTGTGGAGATAAAACATCAGACTCGTTGGGAAACACCTGTTTTTACATGCCCCTCTTTCCACAGCTGTAGATGCCCTCGATCTGAATGTTAACTTGTCTGAAATCTATTTGAAAAGTTTCCTTTAAAAGGTTTTCAAATTTATTTGCAAATAAAATATCAAACAAGATACATGCTTAGAGCTTGCTGACAAAAAGCAAAAACAATGAATGAATTCTGAATGGGGGTCAGCTGATTTGGAACTTATGCTCAGTGTGTCGTTCAGCTAATATTGTTTGACACACTGACAACAGCGATTAGCGTCATCGTCACATCAGATTCCTGCCTCACGCTTGGCTCATCGACACTGAGAGAGCGCTAAGGGCTCTCCAAACGAACACGGGCGCCACCGTCGGCACAGAAATGTGACTAATGAAGGAACATAATCACACACGCTCTAATTTATCCGCTTTTGTCGTGTCATCCTGTTACATTCATCTTTCTCGTCTCAATGCGTCATGTTTCCATTCTCTGCAGACAGAAATATTTGCTTGCCTGGTTGCACTTATCCAGACTGCTCTGTTCTTCTGTGCTGATTAAAGAATTTGCATATCTACTGACACGGTAGTCACAGTGTTTACCTGCTTGCTGGGTGCGTCCTCTTGTCGGCGTGCTGCGGGGACCGTCCCCAGCGGCGTTGAAGGGGGCCACACTGATCATGTAGGTGGTGTAGCCAGTCAGGTTTTTCAGCTTCACCCCTCTTTCAGGCATAAAAAGTGTGCGCAGCCGCTCTGTCTCATTCTTACGCTGGAACTCCCAAAAGTAAATCTACGGGAAATAATGTGAGGATAGTTTAAGTTTAGGTCTGCATTCAGCTGTTTCTGAAGGAGGATAAACATCGAACAAAAATATATTTTTGTTACTATTCGTGCCTTATCAATCAGAATTTCTTTTCTAGCATCTGACCTTGTAACCCTGAATGTCTCCGTTCTGTGCATCTACAGGTGGAGGGTCCCACACCACGTCCAGCTGGTTGGCTGTTGCAGACTGAATCACAACATTCTGTGGGGGGGCTGTAGGTACTGTCAGAGACAAGGGCAAAGTAGGGATACACACATTCAAAAAAAATTAAAATCCTTATCTTGGATCGGATGTGACGTAATGTGAGATGAGTATGTCGTTGTTTTCTATTGATAAACGGAGTAGGAAGTGACACCACTATCAGCGTCAGCTCTGAGGATGTTTTGCAGTCGGCAAACGAAACGTTAGCAAGGTAAAGGGAAACCTTTCCTGTGTTTTAAAAATAACCAAAAATGGAATTTGAAACCCATAACCAAAACAGCTCCAGTGTGGACATATCTAGTACTCTACAAAATAAACAAATTATCTCAGCTCCTGCACTTGACATTGACCTCTTTCTGGTGGATCCTGAGCCTGACACTGACCCTCTTCCAGTAGTTTCTGGCTATGTCTTCATGACTAAAGTTAGTCTCTTGAAAACCTCTAAAATGTCATGTGGTTTTCCTGTCCAAGTACAGCTGAATATGATTAGCACCTAAATATTTCCATGCCATTAAATTCAACTACTTTAACTCAAAGGGGTCCAATAACTTCCCCCTGCTTGCATGGAGGAAATTATTTAGAGTTACGTTAACAGATGGAAACAAACAGGATGCACACAAACCTGCTTCCCCAACAAACACTTCCTGAGGTGGGCTGCTTGGCCCCTCGCCCACAGCATTGTACACACTCATGCGTATCTCATAGCGTTTGTGCTTACTTAATTCTGCAACAGAAGAGAGCAATGCATTAAAAACACTTAGAGGTAAATAAAACATCAATTTGAGACTTTGAGTTTGTGATTAATGTTAAATCGGGTGACCCATTGCCTCACTCTGTATCTTTATGCTTCTCACAGAAACTTATCAGCTGAAAATACTTTACAGCAGGAAAACATTTTCATTTCAATTCCTACAGGGACTCTAATTACAGGGAGCTGAGCGCTGCAGTACAGAGGTACAGGAGAAATATGTGACCATCTGTTTCTGCAGAAGTTTTCCAAATCAACTGAAATGTGCAAACCGATGAGTATGTTGGAATTGTGGCTCACGTAATCAGAGCTTGGAAAGTTTCTTTGCACACTCGCATTGGTAGAAGTGTTTGTGCAGATGTAGCGTGGCTCTAAAACAGCCAAAAGTTGTGTTAATTTGCCTGAAATTCATTGCTCTCACGACTACTTTTCACTGGCACTGGAAACATGGTCAAGCCCAAAAGTAAACAAGGGTTTTGATTCCTATTTTTGGAGGAATTTGTGTGTGTGTGTGTGTGTGTGTGTGTGTGTGTGTGTGTGTGTGTGTGTGTGTGTGTGTGTGTGTGTGTGTGTGTGTGTGTGTGTGATTCTGTAAACCAATAAAATAATGGAACTTACTGTCCAACTCATACTGAGACAGAATTGGATCGCTCAGATTTCTCATGCTGTAGGGAGCTGAAGGAGGGAAAAAAGGCAATTAAAGAAATAAAATTAGGAGGAAGTTATAGAGACACTTGCATCATGTTTCATAGTCCAATACTTTCACTGCTGAGCAGGGCAGCTCTGTTTTCATTAAAAAATAAATAAACCTCACACAATCACCTGGAACGTGGCTCTGAATTAGTCTCAGAATGATTCAAATCAAAATGTTCTGGGGGAGGCAGGGGACATTGAGTCTGAATGGACCCTGCTCCGTGCCTCCATTGTTGAGGCAGCCGACCGGAGCTGTGGTCGCAGGATCGTCGGTGCCTGTCGTGGTGGCAACCCCCGAACCTGCTGGTGGACACCGGCGGTTAGGGATGCTGTCAAGCTGAAGAGTCCTTTCAGGTCTTTTTGGCCTGTGGGACTCCAGAGGCAGCTGACGGATACCGGCAGTCCAAGCGGAACGTGGCTCGGGTGGTCGCCAAGGCAAAAACCCGGGCATGGGAGGAGTTCGGTGAGACCATGGAGCAAGACTTAAGTATGGCTTCGAGGAGATTCTGGTCCACCGTCCGGTGCCTCGGGGGGGGGGAAGCAGTGCGCTACCAACACTATCTATAGTGGGGAAGGTGTGCTGCTGACCTCTACTCAGGACGTTGTGGATCGGTGGGCAGAATACTTCGAAGACCTCCTCAATCCCACCGACACGTCTTCCAGTGAGGAAGCAGAGTCTGGGGACTTTGGGTTGGCCTCTCAAATCTCTGCTGCTGAGGTCACTGAGGTGGTTAAAAAGCTCCTCTGTGGCAAGGCTCCAGGGGTGGATGAGATCCGCCCGGAGATCCTTAAGGCTCTGGATGTTGTGGGGCTGTGTTGGCTGATGCGGCTCTGCAATATCGCGTGGACATCAGGGGCAGTACCACTGGACTGGCAGACCGGGGTGGTGGTCCCCTTATTTAAAAAGGGGGACCGCAGGGTGTGTTCCAACTACAGGGGGATCACACTCCTGAGCCTTCCTGGTAAGGTCTATTCAGGGGTTCTGGAGAGGAGGATCTGTCAGATTGTTGAACCTCAGATTCAGGAGGAGCAATGTGGTTGTCGTCCTGACCGTGGAACACTGGACCAGTTCTATACCCTTAGGGGGATCCTGGAGGGTGCATGGGAATTTGCCCATCCAGTCTACATGTGTTTTGTGGATTTGGAGAAGGCGTTTGACCGCGTCCCTCAGGGGGCCCTGTGGGGGGTACTCTGGGAGTATGGGGTACCAGGCCCTCTGACACGGGCTGTTAGGTCCCTGTATGACCGGGTGTCAGAGCTTGGTCCGCATTGCCAGCAGTAAGTTGGGCTCGTTCCCAGTGAGAGTTGGACTCCGCCAAGGCTGTCCTTTGTCACTGATTCTGTTCATAACCTTTATGGACAGGATTTCTAGACGCAGCCAAGGTGTGGAGGGCATCTGTTTTGGTGGCCTGAGGATCAGTTCTCAGCTTTTTGCAGATGATGTGGTCCTGTTGGCTTCATCAGAACGTGATCTTCAGCTTTCGCTGGAGCGGTTCACAGCTGGGATGGGAACCAGCTCCTCTAAATCTGAGACCCTGGTCTTGATTCGAAAATGTGTAGAATGCCTTCTCCGGGTCAGGGATGAGGTCCTGTCCCAAGTGGAGGAGTTTAAGTATCTCTGGGTCTTGTTCATGAGTGAGGGAAAACTGGAGCGTGAGATCGATTGGCGGATTGGTGCTGCATCTGCAGTGATGCAGACGTTGTACCGGTCTGTCGTGGTGAAGAGAGAGCTGAGTCAGAAGGCGAAGCTCTCAATTTACCGGTCGATCTACGTTCCTACCCTCACCTATGGTCATGAGCTTTGGGTAGTGACTGAAAGAACGAGATTGCGGATACAAGCGGCCGAAATGAGTTTTCTCCGAAGAGTGGCTGAGTTCTCCCTTAGAGATAAGGTGAGAAGCTCAGTCATTCAGGAGGGGCTCGGAGTAGACCCGCTGCTCCTCCACATCGAGAGGAGCCAGTTGAGGTGGCTCGGGCATCTGATCAGGATGCCTCGTGGACCTCTCCCTGGTGAGGTTTTCTGGGCACGTCCAACCGGGACGAGACCTAATGGTAGACCCAGGACACGGTGGAGGGACTATGTCTCTCAGCTGGCCAAGGAACGCCTTTGGATTCCCCTGGAGGAGCTGGCCCAAGTGGCTGGGGAGAGGGAAGTCTGGGCCTCTCGCCTTAGGCTACTGCCACCGCGACCCGACTCCGGATAAGCGGATGAAAATGGGTGGATGGGTGGATGGATGGATGGATGGATGACTCAACAAGAGTCAAATTACAGGCCGTGCCGCACAGTGGTGGAAACATAGCAGCTCCTGAATACACCTAATAACAGCCCGCGGCTGATAACCGCTGATTACAAGATGAAATGTTTTACTGTGAAGTGTCAGGACCAGTGGAGATATCTTGGCAACAGAATGGGCTCGTGTGACAGTTTCCCTCTAATGGAAATAATGGTGCTGCTGACATAAGAATAATCAAGAGTGACAGAGTCCTATAATTACGTGTTACTGGAGTAAAATGCAGAAACTGCAAATTTTTTTCATTATGCGTTTGCTGAATTTCTGCTGCTTCTCTGTGGTTCATTATGAGTCTTCATGATGTGTTTTTCAAAGGATCTTTTAGATAAAAAAGTTAAATACAATTGCAGATGAATGCAATAGGGCAGGTGTTTCCTCACCGTTCAGCTCAGCCCATGAAGACAAACTGTTAAATGAATGAATGTAATTGCGCAGACGATCATAAAGCAGCTCTCGGTAACGGATCCGAAAGCCCAATAAGATCCCGTTGATCTTCTCCTCAGAAGGCGGCTATGAAGAAAGAAAAGTGTAGAGATAAACCCTAATTTAAAACATCACAAAGCACCAAAAAAGCCAACACAAACAGCTGATTTGACTGGATTTAATCACTCTGATCAATCCCCCACGGTTGAACATGAGAGAGCAGGCCCAGAAGGGAGCAAAACAACCACCTCCACCCTCATAAAGTCCACAAGTGTTCTCCATAAAAGTTAAACTGTGTCTGTGAGCCTCCTGTTTTCCTCTTTATGACCTGTTAATTCAGGTGTGAGTGCGGTTAGGAGGTGTAATCTTTTATATTACAGACTCCAGGGCGTGTGAGTAAAAGTCTGCATCCTGTTAGTGCAGGCTTTCATGGTCTCTTATTAGAGAAAACTTTCTCAGACTTGAACAGATCAAGGATTTTACAAACAATAAAACAAGAGAAATCAGCAATGATGTCGGGGCTTACCTGCCAGCGGATCAGAACCGACGTGGTGGTATGTGGCGTGACAGAGAGGATCGCCGGTGCTTCGTCTGGCGCTGGGGCAATCAAAGTGAGATAGATTAGCTAAATTAACTTGAAAATGTGCACAATTCAGCGAGTTTAATATGTCCATGAGCTGAGGCGTTCATGGAGCAGAAACAGAAGACGAATAGATCTCTGAGTTCCAAACAGCAGCGAGGAAAGTTCAGGATCCATTTCGTCAGTAGGTTAAAGCTTTTTGTTTTGCCAAGGTTTTAATACTGCCCGTCACACATGGTGCACACATTAATCAGCTGCTGCCCTGGACAGCATTATAGCAATACCATTCCATATTTCTCGACTCAAATTTTATTTAAATAGCACCTTACACACACACACACATGCCACAGACACAGGTAAAAACATCACATACAACCAAATAAAAATATTAAAAACGAGACTAAACAAGCAACACAGTCAATCACTGCAGATTTGAAAGCCAGCTCATAAAAATGAGTCTTCAGCTTTGATTTAAAAACTGCTACAGAAGAGGACTACTGAGGACTACTAAATGTGTAATGGAAGCTCATTCCATAGTTATGGAGCTGCAATTGAAAAGGCTCTGTCACCCCACATCTTCAGCCGTAACCGGGGGACCACGAGCAAGGACAGGTCTTCTGAGCGGAGTGCTCGCGAGGGAACACACCAGTGCAGTGTGTCTGCCAGATATGCTGGAGCCAAACCATTTAGAGCTTTAAAAACAAAACAAATCCTAAAAGAGACAGGTAGCCAATGTAAAGCTGCCAATATGGGCATAGCATGATCCCCCATTTTGTCATTCTTTCTGCTTGTTTTACAAAATTTCATAGGAATGATTTGTGATGTTTTTCTGTGTCTCTTTGAGTGCATATTTTGGGTGATTGAAGTTACTAAGAAGCAAGAAAAAAAAACACCTCAAGCTTAAGATGAACCTCAAACGCCACAATGTGAAAATATCTCCATTATAAAAGCAGTAAACTCTGATTTGGAGTGGAACGGTGATTGAATAAAAAAAGCAGAAATCTATCCTCGCTGTGTTCATATTCTCTCAGCAGAACATCCAAAAAGAGGATAATAGAGAGACAGGGAGGGGCGAGGAGTTAGGAAACAAGTTACAGAACCTCAAAGTGTCCAAATGAAACTGGAAAAATGAGAATATGGTGCAAAAGTCTTTTAATGTCGGTACATCATCTTAGACTGAGAGACCATCTAAAGCCTCAGGAACCCTATGGAAGTGTTCTGGATTCATCAGCTGATCAGAGCGTGACACTTTGAGTCTAGAATATTGAACCTTTTTACAATATTCTAATATTTCGAGTTTCGCCTGTATTAAACTTTACATTTATTTATTAAATAAAATATTAAAAATATGCGTGGAGGCCGTGGAGTGCTGATAAACCAGGTGATATTTGGCTCATTTTAACAGCTATTTTTAGAAGTGTTTTTCACAACTGAAATATTGATTCCGGTATAAAAGTCACAACCATAATCCAGCCTAGTGGTGATAAAACACGGATTTTTGTCGCAACCTGCTAGAGTGATTGAACAGCATTACTCCAGCATTAACTTGTGGGTCAAACGTAAGGCTTTATTAAAATGGAAGTACCATCAACTTCATTGCAACGCATCAATTCCTTCCTAATAAAACACCGTGCTCTGGACTGAGCTGCTGTTCAGTTTATATCCAGATCAGAGTCCAAACTAAGCACTCCAGTTAACTGTCTAGACCAGGGCCCTCATTTATCAGACATTCACAGATACTATCCTATATCCCATCCTATGAAATAAACTTAGAAAGTTCATACGAATGGATAAAATCCTGATTAATGAAACATGCGGTGCCCACTCGAGGCATCATTCCTCTGCAGTCGTATGTTGATAAATCCCACCTGTGCCTACCCAGGTGCTCGTGCTCATTCACCGTCATTTACATACAGAAAAGCCCTCAATTAACCATATTTGTTCACTCCGCATCCTCAGCTCATGGGGAACAGCAACAGCCACATCCCACAGGGCTTGTTTGTGAGGCTGTTTCTGAAGACCAATTCAGCTCGACTGACTCCTCAAACAATAATGCAGCAGAAAATCAGAACAGTAATCACGAGATTTCAAAAGATAAGGCAAACATGCTCTTGTAGATTGTTTCTTCTTAAATTTCAGGTTAAAATTGTCTACTAGAATACCATTTTAGTTGGATTCAAGAGTCAAATGACCATGCACTGGCAAGAAGATTTTAAGAAAAACATAAAACATTGCTTTAAAAAGGTTCTGTATATGAACATGTTATGCCCATTTGCAATTGTTTTTAATGTATTAATACCCACTTCATCTTTTCTGTATATATTATTTTCAGTTCATTAATGTTTTAGAACTGTCTTTTCTTATTAACTCTGTTATCTTGTTTCTATTTGTTGCGCGGTAAGAGAACCCGCTTGAACACGAGAAGACACACCTCCAGCGGTTTAATCCTCTTGAAAATTAGGTTAGAAACATTGAAAGTCCAAAAATGGAAATAGGTGTAAAAAGTGGTTTGGAGCTATGACTTCACACCAGTCACAAATCTTCAGCCTTGGAAACGTTACTTGCAAAAAGTAATTAGTTATAGTTACTGATTACTTTATCAAAAAAGTAACTCAGTTACTTACCGAGTTACAAGATTATAAAAGTAACTAATTACCAAGAAAAATAAGTACTTTGCTACTTTTTTCATTAAATATTGCAAGAAAAATGGGTTTCCTTCTTAATTAAACTAACTTAATTTACTATAAATTACTACAATACTGAAATATTAATGGAACTAATTAATGGAACATAATAAAATGTATGTCCAATGTTTTTTTTTTATAAAACTGAATAATTGAAATAAAAGGGGCACTTAACAGAAGGAACTACAAAGAGGAGCATTTCACCGATATAGACTATTAAAATGTCACTGTGTGATATTTAAATGGTAAATGGCCTGTATTTGATAAAGCAACTTCTAGAGTCCTGGAACACCCCCCCCCCCCCCCCCCCAAGGTGCTTTACAACACAATCAGTCATTCACCCATTCACACACACATTCAAACACTCATGGGGATGAGCTACGATGAATCCACAGCTGCCCTGGGGCGCACAGACAGAAGTGAGGCTGCCGAGCACTGGCGCCACCATTTAACAAGTCCCCAATCAGCTAAACTTTTTAAATGCAAATAGAAACACCTGTAAAGGTTCCTGAACATTTAAATGGTCTCTCAGTGTAGTTAAATTAGTAAAATAAATCTCATTTTGCACAGTAACCTAATTTTCCCTGCAGCTGTAGTATATCCATCACGTCTTCCTCGTTCTTCACGGGCCGTGATGCGCTTGGACGAAGACATTCGCCTCTTTTGCTCTCAATCAGCTGATTGAATTAGTAATGCACACATGTTCGTATAAGTAATGGAAACAACGTTATGATGAAAGAAGACAGTAATTAATTGGATTACTTGTTACTGGAAAAAAAATGTATTTTTAGTCACACCATTTTTTTAAACGGCGTTATTCCCATCACCATAAATCTTAAACAAAATAAAAGAGCCTTCTCCAAAAACACAGAACTGAAGATAATTTTGCTATCTCATTGTGACATAGCAGATCTTACCATCCTGTAGGGTGGTTGTTGCTTCACTTTCTTCACTGTACTCACTGTCCCCAATGTCATTAGTTGCTTTTACTCTGAACTGGTAGGACGTGAAGGGCTTCAGCCTTAGGAACAGAAGCACAGAAAAGTGCACCAGACTTTTAGCAAGAGCTGGACTTAAATCAGACACCTGTGAGTAAAACTCCACCTGGACACGATGTAGGATGTGGCCTCATGGTTGACGGAGGCAGAGTGCACCGTCCAGTTGTTGTCAGGCAGCTCTCTCTGCTGCACAGTGTAGTAACGCACAGGGGATAGGCCGTCGCTGCCCGGCTCCCATGAAAGCAACACCTGGCGGGCCTGAACGTCTTTCTGAGGAACTGTGGGGCGGCTGGTTGGCTGGGGACGGGCTGCCAGAAACAGGAATATAAATCAGGGGAATATATAATATAATGTATGAGAAAAATTCATGATGAAAAAGCTGGATGCAAAAATAAGAAAGCCAAGTTGGGAAAACGACAACAGAAGTTTACATCACCTAAAACGATTATAACAAAAGGGATAGCGGAGAATCTTTTTCTTTTGTGTGGATCATCTGAACCATTGGTCTGCATAACGCCGGGGACACACCGGCCGCGGAAGCGCCGCGAAGCGCCGAGAAGCGAATCGCTCACGAAATTCGGCCGCTGCTCGCCGCTCCTCAGTTCAGATCAGACGCGCCCCAGTCGAGGCGCGCCTCGGCTCAGCTGTAGTTTTTCTTTTAAACACTTGGTGTCCTCCATTTCCTCTCTGCCTTTTCTCAGCTCTTTTCCTACGTTTGAGTGTTTGTGCGCGTGCGCGCGCGCGCGCGTGTGTGTGTGAACCTATGGTATGAGTTGTTTCTGCCAGTTGAATCTCTTGGAACCCGCTCCAATTCTGCTGCTGTATCCTAGCAGTTTCTTCCTAAATGGGTACGTAAACAATCATGTTTTTCGGGGGTCGTACAGCTCCTTGTGTTTCTCAACTTCCATAATTAATTTAAAGTCATCCATCCTAACTGCTTGCCTCAGACTTTCTGCCTCTCTGTCCTGTTTGCTCCGGTGAAAAGACACTCAAAACCACTCCCCCCTTCACGTGGTCACACACGCACACAAGTTCGATGTGTGTGTGTGTGTGTGTGTGCGTGTTCGTGTGGTTTTTCTGCAGTGTCTGTTTACGAACACATTTGACTATTGCGGAATTTTATTTTGAAATGCTTTATTTTGTTAACTTTACCGGCCTGCCTCTTATGCCTACGTTTGACTTCCTGCCAGAATTGACGCGATTCACCCGCGGCTCGCGAAAAAAATAGAGCCAACGCCGAAATGATCGCTGCACGGCGCGGGCTGGAGCGCCGGCGCGCGCCGGCGCGAGGCGATTCGCGGCGCTTCGGCGGCCCATGTGGTCTATAGAATAGCTTAACAAGGGCGCCGAATGAAGGCGGTCCCATTTTCGCGGCGCTTCGCGGCGCTTCCGCGGCCAGTGTGTCCCCGGCCTAAGCTAAAGTTCGGCATGCTATTTGGAGAAATTCATTTCAGATTACTGCTAGAAGATGTTAGCTGCAAGGCTGGCAGCTTCTAGTGAACAGAGCGAGCATGATGATAACTGGGCATTCTCTCTCACGCTCATTTTTCTCAAAATGTGGAGAGGGCGGCTCTTTCCTGAAATTCAGAAACATCCTCCACCATACCTTTAACGTGTGCTCACATTCAAAGAAAATAAAAGTGTGTCATCCCGATTCCAAAGGATTGTTTAGAGTTTCTTAAATTTGCAGCTTATTTGCTAAAGGAGTGTTATTTTCCCTCGTCTTTCTCTTGCCCTTCAGGGCATCCATAGCGAAGAGAAATGCTGAGGTTGGAATTAAAAGCAGATGAAAGAGTGAACTACACCTGATCCATCCATGTTGGAAGTGATGCATAATCATCCCAGATCTACTAAATAAAATCCACAGTGCAGAGATTCTTTAGAAAACCCTTCTAACTGAAAATGAACGGTGCAACAACAGCTTTGTTCAACTCTTCACAAGTTGTTACACACATCTGCACCTGTTTTATTTACAGTCTGTTTCCACATATCCTGACTGCTAATAAGCTCTAAATAATGTTGTTTCACACCTCAAACCAGATCAACAACCAAGATTCAAACATTAAAATTTGTCCCGTATTTAAGCACCTCTTTTCTCCGTGGTAACCACCAACGCCTCAGCTGCTTCGCCCCAACCCTTCCTGGTCTGTGCCGTGATGCGAAACACATAGACAGACTCCGGTTTGAGGTTGGTGACGGTGTACTGGCGAGCGCTCGGGTTCAGGACATCCACAGTGGCAGCGTTGCTGTTGGTGGAGTTCAGGTGGTATGTGATCTGGTAAGCTGGAGAAGAGGAGAGCAAAGAGGCATGACCGATGCAAGCACATTGATGTCTCTGTGACAGCATATTAGGGACAATCAGAGGAATATAAAAGTCTAAAAACGTCAGATTTGGGAATAGTCTCATTTCTTTATTGTAACTGAGGGTTCTATGTGAGCTTTAACCAGCTAAACCACACGCACACACGCACACACACACGCACGCACGCACGCACGCGTGCGCACACACACACACACACACACACACACACACACACACACACACACACCTGTCTTTACTCCATGAGCCATGACCACAATTGAAGAGTACACAGAACTTCTTTCAGTCCTTCCCAATAATACATTTTATTTCTCGTCAATAATTCATCCCCGAGTGACACCAACATGCTGATTTTCTTTACATAATAATAAAAAGGAAACAACCAGATCTGAACAGAAATCGGCTGAAATCTCTACCAGATGTGAAACAAACACCCCCCCCACGAAGAAAAGAAAAATACTCTGGCAATCTCAAAAACTAATCTTGCTCCTTGTCTTATCCGTTACATCATAATGACACCTAGATAGCAAGTCTTAATCTTTGAATCCTTTTTGAGTAAATGAACGCCATCTTCCCGGCTCATCCGTTAAAGATCCATTAGTCATGACACACCAATGAAATTACATCTCTGCATTTGACCCACCCCCATGGGGAATAGTGAGCAGCAGCAGTGGCTGTGCTCGGGAACTATTTGGTGGTTTCACCTCCAACACAACCCCTTAAAGCTGAGTGTTAAGCAGGGAGGCATTGGGTCTTTGGTATGACCTGACTGGGATTTGAACCCAGATCTCCCAGTGCCAGGGTGGACACTCTCCCACTTGGCCACTGAGAAGGTAATACTAAATATATAACAGCATTCTTCTGAAGAGGAAAGAGAGTGTACGTTACTGACCAAGTATGATGCCATTGGGTTGAGCAGGTGACTGCCAAATAAGCCGGACAGATGTGGTTCGCACTTCGGGGAACAGGATCCCCACTGGAGGTCCTGGCACTGCAGCAAATAAGTACAGTTGAGTTTTTAAAAAAGAGATTATTGTGGAAAAGTGGATTTCAAGTTGTCAAATGTTTTCAAGCTAAACAAAAAACTCCAACATCTCTCCCAAAGAAAATATTTTGATAAAGACATAATTTTTTTTACCATCATCTAAAGTCCTCTCCAGAATGGGAGGAGAGCTGGGCCGTCCATCTCCAATCCGTGTGAATGCCAGAACCTGGATCTCATACAGCACATACTTCCCTAGACCCGTCAGCTGGATGCTGTGGGAGGCATTCCCTTCCACCGTCCAAAAGTGGACCACGCCATCAGAGTCCTTCTCTTTATACACCACCTGATTCGGTCAGGAGACCAGCAAGGAATGTAAATGAAGGCAAAAGTGGAATTACAGAAACTGCAAACAGGTTGCTCCATGTGCTGCTAACAAACAGCTGCCATTCCCAGTCACTGATTACAGCTACTCAGTTAATAAACAGAGACAAGATAAAAAGCACAAACAAACCCTGTAGCCAAGGATGAGACCATTCCTGTCAGGCTCAGGAACTTCAAACCAGCGCACCAGGATGCTGCTGGAGGTGGTGGCAAAGGCAGACACGTTGGTGGGTCCACTCGAAGGAACTGGGAAATGAAAACAAGAGAAAAGCAAGAATGTTGCATCTCAGTAACACATTTAGCTTAGAATGTGCATTCATCATGTAGATGTATAAAAGAAAACTGAATCTATTGTTCTGGTCAGCAGGAAAAGAAACCTAACAGCTCTTTTCTGCTCTGCTGCTGGCAAAAAGCCTGATTTCTGAGAACTTGCCAGTGTTTGAAAAATAAGACTCAGAAATTCCAAATTTAAGTCCACGTGTTGTCGATTTCCCCTGACTCTTTGTTCCACTGCGCTAGCGGCTGCTGAGTGAAATGAGAGCAGATGTGAGGAAGGAAAAGCAAAGTCTTTGTCTGACTCTCAGCGAGAATCTGAATCTGTCTGCTAATGAATCCAACAAATGACAACATGTGAACTGCAAGTTCACCCTTGCTCTTCCCTCTAATACGATGACTAATGAAGAGGATCTGCATGAATGCTGAATGTGCACTTATACAAAAGTCACCAGGGTATTTTTAGTGACAATGGTGACAAAAACACAAAGAATTTTGGGGTGGGGGTCTTGAGGGAAAGCAACTGACCTGCAGCCTTTTGTATACATTCAGTCATTTGTTTCTGAGAGTTTGATTAAAATCCATCCAGTGCTTTATGAGACAGATAAAACACAATCTTTCTGACAGAAGAGGTTAGAAAACACGCTGACATACTGGACTCCCGTGTTCGGCCTCGGACCGGCTGGCTCCAGGGACCCATCCCAATCCCGTTGACTGCCTGGAGCCTGACCTCGTACTCCATCCACTCCTCTAGGTCCTCGATAGTGAACTCCCTCTCCAGGCGGTCGGTGATGACATGGGTCAGCCAGCGGCCCTGCGAGCCTGCGCGGTAGTACTGGATCCTGTAGCCCACCTGCTCCGCATTCCCATTGTATTCCCATTCAGGCAAAGGCTGAACATGAAAGGATTAATCAAAGCTTGGATCAAAAGACACAAGGCTGAAGGTGTTTGCAGACTCGTTGCAATTCTTACCACCCATCGTAACCAGAGGCTGGTCTCGCTGGCGGTACGTAGGGTAATGTTGGCGGGGGCCATGTCTGGGGGAGCTGGTAGAGTCTGGATCTTCCTGGATGGCTGACTGGGAGGACTGGTGCCCACTATGTTGACCTGACGCATACGGAATCTAAAGTTTGGAAACAACACAGTAGAAAATATAAAATACCATACTCAGCAGCACCGTCTTTAGATGCTCCCACTTCAGGCTTACTGCATCTGAGCAAGTTCAGAGAACTGGATATGAACAACTTAAAGTCTTATTGGTGTTACGACTTGGACACGCAACAACATTTAGTGTTTAAACTGAAGTGAAAAGTGGCAGCGAGGATGTTGAAATGAGAACTCCAGCTGCTGTGGGTCTTCTGGGACCCATAGGCTGTATTGACTATGATTGTAGTAAACAAGCAGGCTGCAGAGATAAAAATCAAACACATGCTGGAAAATAATTTCAACAATCCTGACAAACTTTCAAATTAAATGAGAAGAAAAATATGTAATGCTCCTTTGAAATGCTAAAATTAGCTGCGATACTGGAGAACGAACACACACACACACACACACACACACACACACACCTAATTGTTTTTGTCACATTCTGCACACGTTTAATGGAGAGATTGGGATCAAGGGCTGGTTCATTCCTAATTATCTTTTCATCACTAGCCTGATGCAAACAGCAGAAAACAAACGAGTACACAAAGGTTTGGAAATATTTACATAAATTAAACTAAGTTACAATCACACAAGGGAACGAGTTCATCCGAGTACTTATTTATAACTGAAGACATTTTAAGTCCTTCTCCTCTTTAATACACCTGAAACCTCCTTATTCAGGGCCTGAATGCAACCGGACAAGGATTAATCACCACATTTTCCCCAAGTTCAAATTCAACTCCACAACATTTATCCAAAACAAGAATACTCTCTTGTAAGACACCATTTTCCAAGTCTAACATAGAGATAAATACTCAACATTTAATAAAAAAAGTGAAGCAGCTTGAACAGATGAAATTAAATTCAACAATAGTGATATACACTTGCAATAGATTATGGTGCAATTAACAGATTAGAAAGACCTGGAAGCAGCGTGGCGATGTGGACATGCAGGACTCAAATGTTAGCAGACAGAAGCAGCTCCATGAATAAGTGTAAAACAACCTACTTATGGTTGAGATTTAGAAGGATTCAACTCACATGGTGTTCTTTACACTGGCTGTGGTCGTAATGTTTTGGTCATAGCCAGTGTCGGGCAGCTTACGTCTAAAAAGTATCTAGGCTTGACTGAATAGTGTTTGTTGTTAGCCTCAAGGGCAACCTGAAAGCTTGATTATCACCTGTAAGTCACTTTGGACAAAAGCGTCTGCTAAATACTTAAACATAAACATAAAAAGTAATTAGTTAAAGTTACAAATTACTTTTTCCAAAAAGTAATTAGTTACCTAGCAAATTAACTGTGACGTTACTTTTATGTTCTATAACGCAGTTACATTCTATAAAAAACAGATTGATTCTTACTTACTAGTAAGTAGTCTTACTATCTATTTCAGATATATGAAATGTTCACTGAGTTAGAATATTCTAGTGGATATCTGGAATGTTCATTTCCACTAGGAACAGTAAAATTATAGATATCTGAAATGAATGTGCAGTCTGTCTAATAAATGTTTAAAAGGCCACCTTACGGTTTAAGGGATTCTGAGAGATCTCAAACAAAATTTCTACTAGTAACAACATAGTTGTTGGTGTTTTCATTTGACTGATATGAATACAATTAGAGCTAGGATAAATTTAAGTATTGCTAAATGAAATAGGAATTACAGAGAGGTCCACTTGTTGATTCAAAATTAAAATGGCTTGACATAACTCTCTTCCTGTCATCCTTTATTTGGTTTCCATAGCTACCAATTTCCTCACATTTTTGAAGCACTGTTGGTTTTTCTTTCCTCCTCTTTTACAGATTTATCATCACCAATATTTACAGGTCCCATAATGGTAATATCATGATAAATGATAAATGACCCGCACTTGTATAGCGCCTCTATGAGTAAGGACTCCAAAGCGCTTTACACTACAGTGTATCATTCATCCATTCACACACACATTCATGCACAGGTGGGGATGAGAGGCAATGGGTTACATGATTGTCTCAGGGGCTTTGCACCCCATCCCCTGCACTTCCATAGCTATCAGAGGTATGTGTGTGCGGCCCTGCACCGTCAGACTGGAGGCACATTTTCCTTTGTAACACCTGATCAGGGCGAGCGGGTTAGTAACAGCGTTGTACGCGGCTACTCCAAACACTCATCCTAGCTGTAAATTGTTTTTGTAAAGACTTCAGCTATAAGAACTAAATTTCATCTGGATGAAGATGCAACCATTGAAGAATGTTCAGTGATAATCATGTCTGCAGAGTTTGGTTAAAGTCAACAGTCAGATCCTTAGTTTGGGTCAGCAGAAGAGCTAAAGGTGACTCTGCTTTTAAAGGTTTACCTGTAAGATGTGTACGGGTTGAGACCAGGAACCTCTAAGGAGCGAGCCTCGGGTTCATTGGACACCTGATGGACCATTACCCAGTCCTCATTGTCTCCTACAACAGCCACCTACAAAAACCACATAGACAGCAGCATGTTATGGACAACACAAGATCTCAAAATGTCACAATCAGAAAGGATTTGATCCAAAATGATATCTGGTTTAAGTCAGGCTCACCTGGGCCTCCACCAGCCAACGAGAAATTGAGGTTTTTCCATCATATCCAGGTTTGAATTGCAGGTTGACAGAACGTGGGCCGATGTTGGTGATTGCAAGGTTGGTAGGAGGTCCAGGAAGTTCTGTGGTAAAGCAAAGAATCAGAGTTGGACTTTGAGGAAAGTAACTCATATAACTGACATTTCTGTGGATGTAAATTCTCCTGCTTCTCACACACCAGGGGTTTTTAGTTTAAGGCCCATTGAAGGGGAAATAAATCCATCTACTACAGTGCCCTCTGGTGGCCGTACAGATACTGCACACAAACGACTGAACTGTTTCTCTCCCTCTGAGATTCAGCAGAGGCATCAAAAGAACCTTTGATTTAGACAAGACGCTCACACCCAGCACAAAGACGGAGACAAAGCCATGAATGTCAATTACACAGCAGTTATCTGGAGATTCGATTCAATCTGATATCCTTTCTGTTTACACTTGAGCTGAATAAACAAGAAGAATGGATTACCGACGGGTAATCATGGAAGGGGGAACAAATCTGGAAAATTCAAGGAACAGCAGGGAGGAGGGACTTTTGTGTGTCTATGAATTTCAAAGTTTTGTATTTGTGTGCGTCTGGGGCAGGTGTGAATGAAACCAGAGCTCTTTCTTCCTATTTCTATCCATCATGGTTTCCTCCAGATAAATATAAAATCTACAAAGCCACATTGAAATTCCAAAGCAGAGTATAGCTTCCATAAATCCTGGTGGAGGACATTAATGTCAAACAGTGGCACACTGGAGTGGCCTGATATTAAAAAAAGATATAATCACTCCTGTGGGTACACTGTGCTATTTTTTCCCCAGATTGCTCAAATGCAAGTGTATTTAGTCCTAATGAAATGCAGATTATACGTCCCGTGGTAAAATTACCACCTCAGAATTATTTACATGACGAATCATTGAGGTTGCTTTTAGCTCAATCGTTACAGCACAGTTGCAGGCGCAAAGGCGTTTTCTTTACACACATACAATGGGAATAATTGCCATTCTGGGGCCCACAACTGCAGCACTGAACCCTGCTCCAACCATAACAGCCTGTCAGTTCACAGATGTACAGGGTCTGAATGTAGCTCCAGTAATTGCAGTTGCCATTGTGTTCCTGTTGAAAGAGTTTGCAAATATGAACACATTAAAGACAGTAATTGTGCTTAATGCTCCCATGGGTGCTATTATTTGTGCATGTGGGGCAGATGTGACGTTTCTTTTTCTTTTTTCCCTTTTCGTAGGCCTTTTGTCACAGATAAGGTGTCTGGAATCAGATTTCATTACATTTCTGGCTCCAGACAGCATGACGTTTGCTCACTATGTTTAATGTGGGACTGTAAATCTGGAGGAGACTCTGGGAAACTTCCATGATTTCTATTGATTTTATGGGGAAACAATGAACAACTTTGTGAAAAAGAATTCGCTCCCTTACAGATTTCTTTAGTTTACAGCGAAACGTGGTGTGGCAGCAATGAAGTAACTTTCATTTCAAGACTGAGGGGAGGATAGATGGCTTGAGCGGTGGTGGATCCAAAGTTTACACAGATTTTTAGAACGTCTGATCGCTAGACGTCATTAGCATCAACATTCTAACCCATTTTAGTAAAAAAACAAGTAGACATCATGAATGGATCCAAACTGCCTTATGAAAACGTAGGGGTGGCATGTCCCTCACACTAAAGGGTAACACGGGAACACATTTACTTTGCTTTTCCAACCTGCTCCCATTCTTGTCTGAGAAAGCAAGGAACAAAAAGATTACCTCCCCTCCCAATCCCAATAAAATAATTGCCACTCCCTCCCAGTCCCATGTTTTAAGGTGATTCTAAACAAAACCAATCATGATGACATGAGGTGTTTCCACTCCTTCACTGACAACTCCCAGGATCCTGTGTCAAACTTCAGAATTCCCTGACAGCAGTTTTGTGGTGATGCAAACATTTTCCCCTAAATTCGCTCCTCTAACGCATCTTTGTTTCTGTCCCTATTGTTAAATGTGGCGGCTTGCGGCTGCGCATTGCGAGATGACGCGAGATGGCGCTGGTCAGAAAAGTCAGAGAGAACTAGATGTAAATTAAACCGACGCATTGTATCTTTGATTCCCACTGTTGCCCACTCCTGTGGACCCTTTTTCCTGTCTTGTCCCAGTAATGTGATTATAAATAACTTGACTCCCATTTCATGGGAATCCTGCAGCACTCATGTGACCCACTGGAATCCAAAATTGTCTGCTTCTACCTTGCACCCCCATTAAAAATGACGTTCACGTGTGACAGTGGGGGTGATTTGATGCTTCATAACCTGGACCACTTGCCATAAGTAATGAAATCATAAATTTTGCTCTCTGATCTTAAACAGGTCATTCATGCTGGAAAACTCTCCAGTGTGTATGAAATAAAACATTTCTGCAGAGAGGAGTGAGCCAAAGGTGCCACCAAGAGAGTTAACTAGTTACTAAGTTCATCAATTATTTGTATGACCGGGATGGTAGATTTTATCATTATTTGAGAACTATTAGACAACAGATAAGCTTTTCCTACATTGTGACCAAAAAGCAATAACTAAGGCAAATACATGTGAAACTTGAACAATTAGAATATGGTGCAAAAGTTCATTAATTTAATTAATTCAGCTTAAAAGATAAAACTAATGAGATAGACTTATTACATGCAAATCCAGATACTTCAGCCTTTATTTGTTACAATTGGGATGATTATGGATTACAGCTGATGAAAAGCCCACATTAACAATCTCAAGACATTAGATTATTGTGAAAAGGTTCAATAGTCTAGACTCAAAGTGTCACGCTCTAATCAGCTAATAGATCCAGAACACCTGCAAAGATTTCCTGAGCCTTTAGATGGTCTCTCAGTCTAAGATGAATTAATGACATAAATGGACTTTTGCACCATATTCTAATATTTGAGCTTCACTTGTAAACTTAATCATAAAAGTACAAATGCTCAAAGATGAAACATTGTGTTTGACGCTCTGAAGAAATCTACAAAGTTATACTGAGCAAAGACAGGTTTTACTCCAAAAGCAATTCCAGGTGCCACCAGTTAAAGGCGTGTTTATTTACAGGTCAGTGTCACTCTGAACAGCCGTAGAAGCGTGTAAATCTTAACCAAAAGGTTTTCATAGAACACTGAGAATAAGTCTGACACAAGTTTTAGTGGAGACTCAGTCTGAAAAAAAAAACTAGTGATAGCACATCTGAAATAAGGAACTTAGAAGGCAAAGCAATGTGAAATGCAAAAGACTTAAACAAAAGAGAGAAAAGAAAGGGATTTATATAATATAAATGTTACCATATATTTCAGAACCAGATGAATAGAGCTGGTATTTCTGTGGGATGGTTATATTGCATTTACAACACATTCTAGAACATTTGCAGCAGGATGAACTCATGACCCTGGCAGATGTAGATAAACATTAGTAGAGGTTCCCCCATAGGCCCATTCAGATCTGATGCAACGTGTGCATGTTTCCCCCCTTCTTACTGATGAAATGTGAGCATTGCATCACCATTTTAGAAACAACAGCTCTATTAAAATTATAAACCCAAACTTACAAGACTAATGTCAGATACTCAAAATTAAAAGCTGAATATTCAATCTCTCGGATGACTTTTATTTCATAATTTATTAGGAAGATAATGTTTTCATAGACAGTCCCCCGCCGCCCCCAAACCATTGTGATTCACGGTTGCATCGTCATATCTGAAGATATGTAGATGTGATGCAGCAATAATAAATGTTTTTAATGTATGATGTGCCATAAATGCACAGAGTGTGTAGAACTGTTGCAGTAGGAAAACCAGATTTTATTTAAATAAATATGGCATTATTATAATATTAAAGGGAAAGATGCCATATTTTCTCCACAGTGTAAAGAAAGAGTTAATAAAGCCTGATTCATGCCTCTCCATCAGCTCGGATGAAGAGTCGCTCAAATGAATGAATGCAGATGTTTTTGGCTCGTTAAGCAACAGTAGACAGCCACAGCTTATAAGCTTGACCTTCCCATATTCCAGTCAGACTGGACAAAGCTCCTCGGATGAGAAGTGAAATGTCTTCAAGAAACCAAAGTCCAGTTGTCTTCATTCAAACCCCTTTGGATGCAATGTCATATCTCATAATGGACTCAATTGTCACTCAATAGAAAATCATCATTATCTGTGGAGAAACACCAAAACAGCCCGAGTCTGTGGAGAAAGTGTAGATGCTGATGGATCTGAACACAAACACTGTTTGGAACTTTACGACAAATCTTTATTCTCTCTCAGTCAAGGGTTGGACTTTTTCTGGTGATGTTCTTCAGTTCGCTTCGTTCTTGCCACTAGACTTTTTATTTGGAGAAGTGAATGGTGGTGTTGTTTAAGAATTTAAAGGAAGTGGCATCCTGACCAATCACAGGCTTGCGTTCTCCGTGGCTTTCAACAGACAGTTAAAAGTTGGGCATGTCTCGGTCACCCTTTGAAGGGCTGCTGAAGAGCTCTTGCATCAACATGCCTGTCTTGTCTACCATTGCAGATGGAGAAGTATAAATTAGACTTAACCCACCACAGAAACTAAACTGTAAAGAGTCACTGACACCTGTAACAGTTTCACACCCATATCACACGAGAGACATGCTCAGATGATTCAGAAACTCTCTTGTACCAGTCACATTTTGTCACCAACAGCAGCAGCAAAAATCCAGAAAAAAACAGTAAAAATGAACAGTGTTCATCCGGAATATAAATGTATTAAAATATCACTCAGTTTGGCTAACTTTGTCAGTATTCAGTTGATTTTTGGTTACTGACCTGGTGGGACCCCTGAGGATATAGTAGAGGAGGACAGCTGGCCCTGGCCCTTGGAGGTCATTCCTGCCACTTCAATGGTGTATGTGGTGAGAGCAGTGAGCCCCGTGACCCTGTACTCCAAGGTGACGTTCGGCAGGTAATGGGTGACTCTGGTGTTTGTCCGGTTGAACTCTTCCCATGAAATGCGGTAACCTGCAGATCGGCAGTGATGGGTTAACAGACCCAGGATCCACTCTGAGAAAATTCAGCAGTGGCTTTACAACAATAGCGACTCTTAGCTCGGCACTGTGGGGAAAAGCTGACAGAAATATTAAATTAACTTCATCAAAAATTGAATATAACAAATTTAATCAGCCAGTGATTATGTGTCCCTGTACTCACACACGCGCACACACACACACACGCACGCACACACACACACACAGACGCACGCACGCACGCACGCACGCACGCAGGCACACACACACACACACACACACACACACACACACACACACACACACACACACAAACACAAACACACACACACACACACACACAGACACACACACGCACGCACACACGCACGCACTCACCCTCTCAAAGTTAATGCAATTTGCTCCTTGGCCAGCAGCTCTTTTCATGTGATTGCATAAAGCATTAAGCAGCATTTCTTGTCGAATCAGTAATCTCACATGGCATGTCAGTGTCTGTCTCTTGGGAGTATGAGAAAATATGCTGAGAAATATTTTTGCATCTCAAAAATTATCAGCATTCTTTAACACAGATACTTTAGGGAAAAAGTTATAGACTTTTAAATATATTGGTAAAAAAATAGTATTTGTGAATCTAAGAGAACACTTTGCTACTAGCTACTACTATTTTTTTTTAATTCAAAAACATCTAGCAGCTACAGCTATGCTAAAACAGGTGGGGACAGCTAGCTGTTATCATTGCCAAACGAGTCCTAAATGAACTGAATGTGCAGTCTGGGTTAGCAGAGCCCATCTTTAATTTTAAAATGTATTTTAAAATAATGCATTTTTATAGGAAAGCTAACCTAGCTCTTTGTGCTGTATCATGTTTGCTTATCAGGTTACACACATGCTTATAAAGAGATGATGACAAAACTGAATAATTAACTGGTTAATTAATAGCTAGGTATGTAGAATATTGTCAATCACTCAGAGCCAACTTTATTAACTTCAAAATGGTGTCAGCATAACAATAGCTCTTATGAAAATCTACTGCCAAGACATGTCTAATGTTAATGTTTCATGTGTGAAAATTCTACGAGAAATCAGAAATCTGACTTGGAAGGTTAAAGATTCTTTATAAACTCCGATATGTCTGCCTTGCTTTTAAAAATTAAGGATATTTGTGGAAATAAACAGTTTATTTGTAGCTCATTAAATCAGTTAAAACATAGTTATGTACTATAACTACAGTTTAAGTGCAATAATGGGACACTAAATAGTTGTATAAACTTTAAGCTAGAGCTTTAACATGGTACACCACTCTGCCGTCTACTGACCAGATGTGTGGGAGCTCTTTAACTTCCTACTGCTAGGGGCAGCAGTAGTCAACAGGTTGAGTGGGCTGTCCAGTAATCAGAAGGTTGCAGGTGCGATCCCGGCAACGGACAAAGAATTCTGCTGTTGTGTCCTTGGGCAAGACACTTTACCCACCTTGCCTGCTGGTGGTGGTCAGCAGGACCGGTGACGCCTGTGCTCAGCAGCCTCGCCTCGGTCAGTGCACCCCAGGGCAGCCAGGGGCATGTCCAGATCTTTTAAAATGGGGTGGCCCAGGTGAGGCACAACTTTGTGCATGGGTGGCACCAATGATTATGCTTTTTTTTTTGTTTTAACCCCAAGCCTTTTGTGGACAATGAAAAACCTATTTAAAGGTAAATTAGTGTGGTGGCACCTAGGGGTGGCCAAGCAGATTCCAAAGGTGGCATGTGCTACCCCGGGCCACTCCCTGGACACGCCCCTGAGGGCAGCTGTGGCTACATCGTAGCTCATCACCATCAGTGTGTGAATGTGTGTGTGAATGGATGGATGATACACTGTAGTGTAACGCGCTTTGGAGTCCTTACTCTGAGAGGCGCTATACAAGTGCGGTTCATTTATCATTATCAATTCCTTAGTTGTCAATAAAAAGCACAAGCAGAAAAAGAAGTTTTTTTTTTGTTTGCATCATGGCAAAGCCTGGAAGCAAAAGTAAAACAGTGTCTTTGGAAGTGAAGCAAAGAGCTAAAACTGGAGTGAACATCGGCGCAGCTTGCACTAGTTTGAGGGAGCTAGCTAAGGAGGCTACAGAATTACAGACTGATGGTAACCTGGTTTTGTTGCTACTGGACTTCTAAGTAATCATATTTTGTCCAATAGTGTGGATCTTTTTACTTCATGGTTAGTTTTATTATTAGCTGACTCATGTTAGTGTTAGCTCGTTGCTAGCGCTAGGTACAGCAGGCTGCAGCAGGGTTGTTTATGAAAGTTGTAATTCCTCTTTCAACCAGAAGGACAAAGGAACAGGAAACTGTTTAGTGGAAACTGTTTAGTGTTACTTTAGCTTATCGTTACTGGCCTGTATTACTTGGAATATTTAGCCTTAAACATGTTACACACTTGACTGTTAATCTGAGTCTGAAGAGAACCAAAACTCCTCTTTATTAGAGATGTTTCTCTTATGTAACAAACCATAATTAAAACAATTGCTTCATAAACCCCTGAGTGTTACAGTCGTGTAGGTCTGGAACTAATTTAGAAAAAAAAACAGGTGAAAATATAACTCTTTTTTTTTACTTGCATTTGTTTCTTTTAGGATGTATCTATTGTTTTGCAAAAGAAACACCTTCCAGATTTTATTGTCAGCCACTAATTATTCTGACAGACGCCCTCTCCATTCTCCATTATTAACTCCACACAACAGTCACCTGATGAACCCATCCTCCTGCTTTGGTCTGATGTTTTTAAATGTACTGTTCTATCACAATGTGCACACATCAGGCTTTGTTTCTCTTCCTCTGTTGATATAAAAGATTTATGAGTTACGTCTGAGACAAGCCGCCTTTTCGTGGTAGATTTCCTTTGCAGACTGGGCTTATGAGATGAGAAAATGTTCTTTTTTGCAGTGGAATACTTTTGAAAGATGTTATAACATTTTCTGACAACTATTCTCTCACTGCAGCAAAGGGATATTAGGTGGTGGAAGTAGGTGGGATGACTCAAATAGAATAAACAGCATATATTACTGCAGCTCCCGTGTGCAGAGTACATTAAATGAGGTCAAGCAGTCTCAATTTCATCTCTAGGGAGGGGTCTGTTTTCAGCAAAGCTGAGACAAATAAAAACTTGGGTAAAATGTTACTTTTTTTACTTTTATGCTTGACTTCAGTTTGATAAAGTGCAGCGAGTGTACCTGTGAGAACTCCGTTCTTCTCACTGGGCTCGCTCCAGCTGACTTTGAGCGAGGTGTCCAGGATCTCCGTGAAACTCAGGTGACCGACTGCACCGGGGGCTGGATGGGAAAAATAAGAATAATGAGCACTGCCCATGGGTAAACGAGCCACTCTGCATCCAATTTACTTCTGAGGATTCCAATGTTTGCATTTTATTACAACCATCAAAACCTGGGAGAAATACAGAATACAGAGGTGAGTTGGACTTTGAAAGCATAGCCAGGACACAAATGGGATGAGTGAGACCACGAGCAAAACACACTCCTTCATTAGCAACTCTCAGCAACGCTGTTCTACATTAATAATAGATCTTGCCAAAAGGATGCGTTACTGAGGTGATTGTGTAACCTTGCCAGCATGGAGAAAAAAATACTTACTGTCCTCATGAGTCCTCACTGCTCTAGGTGGGCTGCGGGGGCCGTCTCCAGGTGTAGTGAAGCACAACACCGAGGTGTAATACTCAGTGAACTTCTTCAGACCTGTCACATATCCGACGTGGACACTGTCCTGAAAGTTGGGTCGTACAGTTACCATAGCAACATCTTCATTTCTTTTGCCTGGTTCCCAGGCCAGCAGCTGAAAGAGACAAAGACGATTAAGAAAGATGGTCAAAGGACTAAAATAAATGCAGTTATTTACCACCTTTTTCTCATGATAATTTGTTTCCTTGTGTGGTTACTCTGAAGAATATTTGACATCATGGTTTTTAGGGATCTTTAAACCAATAGGAATGTTGTCTGCAAGTCAGAGGATTGGAGTTTGACCCCAGCACAATCTCAAAGTGATACAGACTCTCCCCAATATACAGTGCTGCCCATAATTATTCATACCCAGGCAAATTTCGACTAAGTTACTTTTATTCAACCAGCAAATAATTGTTTGACAGGAATTGACATAGGTGTCTTCCAAAAGAAAATAAAACAATATACAAGAGGCATTTTTGTACCCCAAAAAATTCTCAGCTTTTATTTACATTTGAGCAAAAGATGTCATGTCCAATAATATTCATACCCTTCCAAAACATCAGTCTCTGGGAAAATCCAAAGTTCTAAACCATTCCAAATAGTCCAAGCTGTTCTAAAGCATCTTAATTATCCAGATTAATTGGGAACAGCTGCTTTAATCAACTCAACAGGTGAAAAACAGCAGACATGACAATTTTTGCTCAAATGTAAATAAAAGCTGATACATGTCTTTTGGTACAATGATGCCTCTTGTACCTCATCCTATTATCTGCTGCGAGACACCTGTGTCATTTCCTGTCAAAAATAACTGGCTGGTTGAATAAAAGTAAGTATAAGTCAGAATTTGCCAAGGGTTATGAGTAATTATGGGCAGCACAGTATGTCTATTTAAGTTAAGCTACTATGTACTGTTTGTCAGATGGAATAAAAAGGACAAAAAAAAAAAAAAAAAAAAACAAACAAACAAAAAAAAAAAGCTCATTGTTCAACCCAAACCCAGACTTTGGTCTACCGACAAACTGGTTCATCCCAAATCATTTTCAGTTTATGAGTGAGAGTTACCAGTAAAAACGGGACCATAAATTCTCATCCGTCTTCCACACTGGTTTTATTCGAATGTATTCCTACATATACTTTCCTGTGTGTGTGTGTGTGTGTGTGTGTGTGTGTGTTTACATTTGTCCCTGAAGTCTATATTTGACACAGTTTCTTCCACAACCCCCCCCCCACACACACACACACACACACACACACACACACACTTTCTTCCTTCCTTTCTCTCTCAAGCCTCTCTCCCCAGAGAAAAAACCTGATGTTTGAAATTCAGGTTCTCTATTTTTATTACACTGACCCAGACGCCAAGCTGGGTAAGGTTTGGGCAAAACCATTGAAAAGCCAGACAAAAAAAAGGAAGTACAAAACTCCTCAATGACAAAAAAATGAGCCTCCGTGCAGAGCCTCCTGGGTGTTGGCTTTTTGAGTTCTCCATGGGCCATATCAATTTGAACGTATGCACAAGGGGCAGAGAAATGGACAGACGTCACGTGCCAATGGCAAAATAATGACACTCATCAATGCATTACTTGTAGCTTCACAAAAGTAAATTGTTTTCAGTGCAAAAAAATAAAAAATAAACAACCTTCATCTGAAAAATGGTGAACAAAACCCACTGTCCCCATTGGTACTGCCTACTGTTTGCCCATTGGCTAATCTCCCCCTCTCTCGACACATGCTAGAACAAGTTCTGCTCTGACAGCTCTGTCAATGTCACAATGTGAGGTGACACCATGGGGGCTACTGACCTTGTAGCCCTGGTTGATGCCGTTGATAAACTGCGGGTTAGGAGCGGTCCAGGTAAAACGGAGAGCTGTCGAGTTGACCGCCTCTGTCTGCACGTTGCTCGGAGCGATGGTTGGAACTGGAATGGATGATGCAGGGAGAGACGTAAAGAAAGGATTAAATATAGAAGTGAAAAGGTAAAAAGAAGGGTGAGAGAGTGACTCCAGCTGACGACAAGAAGTCTGTCTGCATCAGTCATGTTGCTTGTATTGATCGGTGCAGGTCAGGGCAGATGCTGCCATCACTTTCTGTCCGACACTTCCATCTAATATCACAGTTCTTGGTGGGTTGGCTGGGGCTGTGAGCTGCTTATGGATTTGAGAGGCATGTCACACTTGAGTGTGTTTCTAGAACTCCAACTTTAATGACCAATTTCACATAAAACAAGCCGAAAATATTAGGTTATCTAAAACATTGCACGCTCATCAAACTTTAAAAGCCTCTCATTGTAGGTCCTCACCTCCCTGGAGAGTCCACTCTGTGACTTTATGGCTAAATGCACCCAGTCCAGCTCCATTGTAGGCAGCCACCTCTATCTCATAGTTTGTCCAGATGATGAGGTCTTCCAGCAGCAACGTGGTCACATCTGGACTGGAGATGTTCTTGATCTGATAGTCCACAGGCAGCCCAGTAAGACGGTACCTAAAATATGCATGTGGGATGTTTGGATAAATGATTTGGAGCTATTTGTTTGCAGTCTGCTATAAATAGCTGTGCCACTTAAGATGCTACGCTGACAAAGACTTTCTACTGTGGTGCTCTGCTGCAGTGCATGGTCACCCCTGCTGGGGGGAGACAAAGGACCAGCAAACACACAAGCTCCTAAATCCTACTGGCAGCACCAACTCATCCGGCAAATGCACCTACGGTTTCATTTGGATGTAATGAATAAAATGTCTGACAGAAAACAAAGCTAATTATATGTTTAGAGGACTTACAGTCAGCTTGGCTTACTGCAGCCTTTTAAAGCTAAAATTTGGTAAAGTCAACCCGATGATGAAATGTCGGTTTTCATTGAGACACATTTTCATACCAGTTGTGTTAACCAAGATTTAAGTGAGGCAGTTCTTACACGCTGTCAAATTTAAAGCAAAAGCAAACTTTGTGAAAGTGAATAAAGCAAAAACAAATGAACACAACTCTGACATTTAGTTTTTCATAGAAGAAGCAAAACATCTATTCTAAAGAGATAAACTATGCCAACAAATGTACACACACACACACACACACACACACACACACACACACACACACACACACACACACACACACACACACACACACACACACACACACACACAATTACTTCCTTTTTCAAATAGATTATATAAGTGTGTGAATAATATGGATCTCAGAAAATTTAAGAAAAAGTGGTTTTGATCACACGAGTTTCAAGTTTTACCGGATGATGTATCCCCGAAGGATGCCATTCTGGTGGCTCTCCTGTGGCGGCTGCCACTGGATCATGATAGACTGGTTGGTCCTGCCGCTGGCAATAATGTTCTGGGGGGGAGCACTGGGAGGCTCCTCTGGGAGGGACACGCTGCAGAACATATCCGCAGAGTTAAAGGAATCACGTGCTTTACACATTTTTCATTTCCAACTCCCTCACTTAAACAAGTTAGCTTTTTCTCCCCTAAATCCAGTTTAAACAGAAAAGAAAGGACATTTTGGCTGTTTGACCACCAACACTGTATCTTCATCCTGACAAAATACCCTGTGTGCCTGTGCTGGCCCCGCTGTAACCACCACAGAGACCCCCTGTGCATTTTCTGTGGGCTGGGAGCTGGCAGTGTGGCAGACTGGTGGAGCAAAGCTGGGGAGATGGGGGATGGGAGGCATCGTAGGAAACGGAACTTGGTGCTAATTTAAGGTCACAGAGAGGCCAAACCGGATCTTTCCTCACACCTAAATATCAACTGCAACTTCCCGAATGTGTAACACACATAGTGTATACCCACTCTTTACTGGTTTGTGATTGAAAAGATACATCTGGTTTGTTCTAGGAGAGAAAGAGTTCTAAAATTGGTTCTCCCTGTATAGTGGAGCTCTTCATCTGTTCTCTAAAGCTGCATCCTGGTTGGTTTGCTGGAGTTTTTGACAATTAAAAATTGCGCCCACATTTTCCAAGTTAACACACATCTCTTTAAACAATGGTAGTTTTTGCATCTTTACTGTTCCCCTGCTTCAGCCCTCCCGCCCCCTCCCCCCGTGCAGTGGCCGCAAACTCACTGTTGCGCCTGCAGCCTCTCAGAGTTCCTGCTGCTCTAAACATTGAAAGAATATTTTCATTTTCTGTTCCTCACGTCTGATTACCTTCAATGGTGGCAGTTTGTTGCAACCACCAGGTACAAAAACAAACTTGTTTTTATTTGACTATTTTTTCTGACCTGGCTGTTTATTATCTTTCTGCATCTCCTCTCAATCATAAAGAAAAACTGCTACCTGGCTTCATATTTTTCACCTTATAAGTTACCTTTGAACTGCAATGCAAAAGATCTACCGACCGCAAATGAAGCAAAGTGTGCATCGGAAGAAGTCACCGGAGGACAAAACCTGCAGCAGCGAAATGCATCAGGCACAAATAAGAGACAGAAAACATAAAAGGATATGAGCCGACATAAACGATCACGTGTTAAGTTTGTTTTTGAGGTGGCGATACTTTGAGAATGTTACTGTGGCCGTGCTCAGGACGCATCTGTCTGGAGCATGTCAACGATCAGAGCTCTGCGCCTCTCAGCTCTAAATAATTCCCAGAGAGTCCACATAGATAATGTAATATCAGTAGAACCAGGATCTTTATTGGGCTCCCCCTGGTGTGGAAGCTGAGGGCTTCCAGGAGCTCCCTTTAGCTCACGCGTAATTCGGACCCTGTGTATAGCACAAGGTGGTCGCGTGAGTTGCCGGAACCTAGCAGACAGTTGCTGAAACAGTCCTTTCAAAATGAAATTTATACTCAGTGTCTTGAGGAAACATTCATTTGATCTCAAGGATAATGGACAAAAGTTTGCATGAGCTGGTTTGGTATGTGCAAGGTAGCAATTTATTGTTTCTCCCATTTAGCATTAAGATGATGCACAAATGTAAGGATTGTGGATGCAGGCTGATAGGGATGGCTTGTCTTCCAATGACATGGCAAGAAAAAATAAGAGATGAGACATTCACTCACCGTTCAGTCTCCTTACTGAACTGCCCCTTTCCAACATCATTAACAGCACAGAGGCGGAACTGATAAGAGCGAGCCGGGATCAAGCCATTAACCGTCACTGCCGATAACTCTGGCTCAATGTTTGCCAGCAGGATGGCCCAGGGTGCATCTAAACAAGGACAAAAATTCAAAAACATTCATGAACCAAAAACAAATCATCATTTCCTGATTCCCTAACTCTTACTTTTGGAGGGAAATGACTCAAACGCCAAAAAAGAAGACCAACACTACATCGGTTTCTGGTAAAACAACTGGTTTTAATGTGATGGTGTGTATTTCCCCTGGCGATAAGGGGTAGTGCATAGCTAAGTCATTGCAAGCAAGCGGTATTTTTGTGTTTGAGCATGACCTAACCAACGGATTGCCATTAGGATCAAAAATCCTTGGGAGCGCGGTTATTGAAGGAGTACTTCTTCAGATCGTTCAACCTCCTGCAAAATGACAGTCAGACTTCCTTTCATCACTGGCAACGAGTGACTAGGTAAATGTGTAAAATAATCATTATGAATAGCAAAAGTTTTGCAACCTCTTGTTACAAATCTGTAAATGTGTTTTGCCCTCACGGGCTCCTGCAGAAGGAAAAATGGCGTCTAATATGGTATCACCCTTAAAGAGACTTAGACCTGCCCTCATGTATTTTAGACCTGATTTTCATGGTTATATGTTACAAAGCCCCCTATATTTTTCAACAACTTGGCATCATTTATTCATTTTGAACAACATTTTGATGGACATTTCCAGTGATTACCCGTAAAAACTACAAATAATCTCTTTAAGTCTTTTCTGTTTTCTTTTCCATCCATCCGTCCGTCCGTCCGTCCGTCCGTCCGTCCATCCATCCATCCATCCATCCATTTTCATCCGCTTATCCGGAGTTGGGTCGCGGGGGCAGTATCTTAAGGCGAGAGGCCCAGACTTCCCTCTCCTCAGCCACTTGGGCCAGCTCCTCCGGAGGAATCCCAAGGCGTTCTCTGGCCAGGTGAGAGACATAGTCCCTCCAGCGTGTCCTGTGTCTACCTTTAGGTCTCCTCCCGGTTGGACGTGCCCAGAAAACATCACCAGGGAGGCGTCCAGGAGGCATCCTGACCAGATGCCCTGGCCACCTCAACTGGCTCCTCTTGATGTGGAGGAGCAGCAGGTCTACTCCGAGCCTCTCCAGAATGACCAAGCTTCTCACCCGATCTCTAAAGGAGAGCCCAGCCACTCTTCGGAGAAAACTCATTTCGGCCACTTGTATCCGCAATCTCGTTCTTTCGGTCACTACCCAAAGCTCATGACCATAGGCGAGGGTAGGAACATAGATCGCCCGGTAAAGCGAGAGCTTCACCTTCTGACTCGGCTCTCTCTTCACCACGACAGACCGGTATAACGCCCGCATCACTGTAGATGCAGCACCAATCCGTCTACCGATCTCACGCTCCAGTTTTCCCTCACTCGTGAACAAGACCCCGAGATACTTAAACTCCTCCACTTGGGGCAGGACCTCATCCCTGACCCGGAGAAGGCATTCTACCCTTTTCCGAATCAAGACCATGGTCTCAGATTTAGAGGAGCTGATTCCCATCCCAGCTGCTTCACAATCGGCTGTGAACCGCTCCAGCGAAAGCTGAAGATCACGTTCTGATGAAGCCAACAGGACCACATCATCTGCAAAATCAGAGGCCTGATCTTCAGATCACCAAAACGGATGCCCTCCACACCTTAGCTGCGCCTCGAAATCCTGTCCATAAAGGTTATAAACAAAATCGGTGACAAAGGGCAGCCTTGGCGGAGTCCAACTCTCACTGGGAACAAGCCCGACTTACTGCCGGCAATGTGGACCAAGCTCTGACACCAGTCAAACAGGGACCTAACAGCCCGTATCAGAGGGCCTGGTACCCCATACTCCTGGAGTACCCCCCACAGGGCCCCAAGAGGGACGCGGTCAAACGCCTTCTCCAAATCCACAAAACACATGTAGACTGGTTGGGCAAATTCCCACACACCCTCCAGGATCCCCCTAAGGGTATAGAGCTGGTCCAGTGTTCCACGGCCAGGGCAAAAACCACATTGCTCCTCTTGAATCTGAGGTTCAACAATCTAACGGACCCTCCTCTCCAGAACCCCTGAATAGACCTTACCAGGAAGGCTCAGGAGGCTGATCCCCCTGCAGTTGGAACACACCCTGTGGCCCCCCTTTTTACATTAGGGGACCACCACCCCGGTCTGCCAGTCCAGTGGGACTGCCCCCGATGTCCACGCAATATTGCAGAGCTGCGTCAGCAAACACAACCCCACAACATCCAGAGCCTTAAGGAACTCCGGGCGGATCTCATCCACCCCGGAGCCTTGCCACATATGAGCTTTTTAACCACCTCAGTGACCTCAGCAGCAGAGATTTGAGAGGCCAACCCATAGTCCCCAGACTCTGCTTCCTCACTGGAAGACGTGTCGGTGGGATTGAGGAGGTCTTCGAAGTATTCTGCCCACCGATCCACAACGTCCTGAGTAGAGGTCAGCAACACACCATCCCCACTATAGATAGTGTTGGTAGCGAACAGGTTTTCCCCCCCTGAGGCGCTGGATGGTGGACCAGAATCTCCTCGAAGCCGTACTTAAGTCTTGCTCCATGGTCTCACCGAACTCTTCCCATGCCCGGGTTTTTGCCTTGGCGACCACCCAAGCCGCGTTCTGCTTGGACTGCCGGTACCCGTCAGCTGCCTCTGGAGTCCCACAGGCCAAAAAGACCTGAAAGGACTCTTTCTTCAACTTGACAGCATCCCTAACCGCCGGTGTCCACCAGCGGATTCAGGGGTTGCCACCACGATAGGCACCAATGATCCTGCGACCACAGCTCCGGTCGGCCGCCTCAACAATCGAGGCACGGAACAGGGTCCATTCAGACTCAATGTCCCCCGTCTCCCCCAGAACATTTTGGAAGTTCTGTCGGAGGTGGGAATTGAAGCTCCTTCTGACAAGAGACTCTGCCAGACGTTCCCAGCAGACCCTCACGATACGTTTGGGCCTGCCTGGTCTGACCAGCATCCTCCCCACCATCTGAGCCAACTCACCACCAGGTAATGGTCAGCTGACAGCTCTGCCCCACTCTTCACCCGAGTGTCCAAGACATGCGGCCGTAGGCCAGACGAAACAACAACAAAGTCGACCATCGAGCTGCGACCTAAGGTATCCTGGTGCCAAGAGCACATGTGGACACCTTTATCTCTGAACATGGTGTTCATTATGGACAATCCATGACTGGCACAGAAGTCCAACAACAAAACACCACTCGAGTTCAGATCAGGGGGGCTGTTCCTCCCAACCACACCCCTCCAGGTCTCACTGTTTTCTTTTCAAGTTCCTTAACGTTCTGGCCCACATGGCAGCTCTGGTAAAGGTGGTTTTCTGTCGTCAGTTTTCAACGAGCAAAGATGGCAGACACGTTTTCGGGTCATTGATAAACAATGCCAGTCATAAATAAACTTCATTGCAGCTAAAAAGTGAATTTAAAAGCAGTGATGGACATTCTTAATTAGCCTCATTGATCATGTTCATAAATTCTATTTGATCTGCACACAACATTCTCGGCTGCACTTGCTTTGCATTGAAGCTATCAGGGAAAAACACTGGCATCACAGGAATCTCGCTGCTTGGAGGGGAAAAAACAGTCCTAAAAAAAGAAACCTTTTACATCTTTTTAAGTCTGTGGCACTGATCCCTTGAGTTAAGTTCTCTCTTCGCCAAACTCGAGTCGTTATAAATAATTGAAAGTCCTTAAATTTGTGTAAACTGACACAAAAAGTGCAAAGCGCAGAAGGTTCAGACAAGTGCAGCTGTGACTTACTGTTCTCAGAAACCTCCAGGATGTAGCGAATGAGAGGACTGTTGCCATCAAAAGGCTTCGCCCAGGCCAGGTCAATGGCTCTTTTCTCAGATTTGCTCAAGACGGCTGTGGGGTTCTCTGGGGCGTGGGGGAGCTGCCTGCAGGGGAACCAAGGGGACCGCTTTGAAATACAAAAGGCGCTCTCCTAACACAGCAAACAGACTGTGGGGTTAGAGAAGTACCGAGCAGTTTGCTTTGCTCTTGTGAAGAAAGAGTCGAACAGAGACGTCAGTTAGACAGGTGATGAAATGTGACTTGACAAGACAGCAAAGATGGTTTCTTGTCAAGATGGACACGGAGGCAAACAAAGCGAGATAGATATTACCAGAGGGGGGAAAATGGATTGAAAGGCATTAGTAGACAGATAGGAGGAAAACGCACCGGCAACGACATGAATAAATGAGGCTAAAGCTGAGGATCATTAATACATGCAGCCATAAATTCAGATAAGCGCAGACAGATTGATATATAAACCTTAAAGCAATAAGCGGAGAGTGAGGCAGACAAAAGGCAGCCGGCCAACAAGACAGCCGATAGCAGAGTGAAGATAGAAACACCGTCACTTTGACAAATCGGAACTTACATGTCACATTCGTATTCTGTTTAACCAGCGGCCAAAACAGAACCAAAAAGGATGAGGAAGGAGTAGATTTAATGGCAAAAACAATACAGAAGTGCGTGAGGAAGGGAGTGTGTGTGTGTATGTGTGTGAGACAAGAAGGGGGGGTCACCAGGGGCTAGAAGAGTGTCAGGTGAGAATGAGGACAAGGGAGGTGAAGAAGAACCGGCATCGTTTAAGTGGAAATGAGTCAGAGGTGTCGATAAGAACAGGCAGGATAGCAGTGAAAGGCTGATGGCGGTGTGTGTGTGTGTGTGTGTGTGTGTGTGTGTGTGTGTGTGTGTGAGAAGAACATGTTCTTTCCTGTGCAATGGAGAACTTTGAACACTGGAGAGAAAATGACAAAAGCACAAGGGAGGTTACCTGACACGGAGGTGAGCGCTGCGGGAGTCGTTGCCCCCGACTGAGGTGACTCGGCACGTGTACGTGCCAATGTCGCCCGACCAGGTCTGGGAGATGTGCAGGGTTCCGTCTGCATCCAGTCGCATACGAGGAATGGACTGAACGTTGATCACAGAGCCATCTTTTTCCCAGAAGTGCCTGAAACACAGACTCCTCAGTCAGCGGAATGTTAAATCTTTCATCTGCTTAGAGGCAAACTGAGGCTCCTCTAAACCACAGTGAGAGCTTTTGAGGTTGACTTCAAAATTTTTACTTCAGCTCCTAAACTTGGAGTCCGTATGTGGAGCTCTGGTCAGATTGTTGTCCCCTGGACATTTTGATTGCAGCAGTTCATTAAACTGCAGTTGTCTTTATTTCACTCACTTCCAAAACATTAGAGTAATTTCTGAAAAACATCAGTGACATCTATCCACTGACTCGTGGTTATTTTTCCTCAGAGCTACAGTTTTGATTACAAGAAGATGAAGCTAGAGATTGTTACTGTAACTCTCCTGGGTGTGAAGAGACTGGAGAGTTGCTCAGGTTGACTTGTCACTGAGTTGAAGGAAGTATTTCAGGTGAAAACTATAAACAGCATTAACTTAATGAAAATTAACAGAACACACCTCCAGTTTTGTTTCAAACTTTATTTACCAGACTCATTACCAAACATGACCTGGTTGAGATGTCTTTGTGTGTTTTGTATTATGAATAAAAGTCCTTATGATCTTACCCATTGACTATTGATGGAAGTATTGTATTACCTTCCTTTAATGAACTTTAATGAGGTCTCATTTGAAATCAGTACAGTTTAGAATGAGTTAGCCTGTTTGTCTTTAATGGCTTCAACACTTCTGGGAAGGGTTTCTGTAAGGTTTAGAGATTTTGTAGGACTTTTTGACCATTTGAGGCAAGTCAGCGATGTTGGCTGAAAAGGCCTGACTCACAGTCTCTGCTCTAATTCATCCCAAAGGTATTCAGGAAGGTTGGAGTCTGGACTCTGTGCAGACCAGTTAGGTTTCATCCTTCCAGACAAGCAACAACCTTGTATCTCCATCTTTCATCATTTTATTTGTGCTTAATAATTTATCGACTGTAGATCAGCCTTAACGTCCATCTGTGGTTTTCATGGATGACCAAAGAAATAGTCAAAAAATGCATGTAAATTATGACCAGATCATTTAATGAAAAGTGTTTATCTCTTGAAAAGTTAAAGGTTTTTGCCCAACAGTGACATCATCCAGGTTTTTATTGGATCCCCTGAATGCCTTGGGTTTGTAGTAGGGCTGGGCGATATGGCCTAAAATTAATATCACAATATATTGAGGATTTCAACTCGATAACGATAAATGGACGATAACTACAGGTATGCGCAGAAACACAAATTGTCCACTAGATGGGGCTGTCACATGTATTACGATGAGTCACATTTTTACATGACTCAAGGTGGGAGCTTCTTAAAGGGACATGAACTTTGCCAACCTACACACAACTTTTCATTTTTTATTATCAAATTCATTGACATGGGAAAAATTATTACGATAAAAGTCAGAAATTTTGATAACAAAACATTTTCGATTTATTTCCCAGCCCTAGTTCCCAAAACTTTTGGCAACTTCATAAAAGGCCTCAGTTTCGAAAGAAAACAACAACAACAAAAATTCTTTTATCTCCAGAATGGAAAGGTTAGTCTGAGCCCACCAGGAGCAAGATGACTTGCTGCCTTTTTAAAACTCAATTTCACACCAGTTATCTCAAGCATTGCTTCATAAACATTTTCACAGCTGTCAAATTTGCATTACAAGCTCATTCACAAGCAAAACTATCAGTATTTGAGGTAGATTTGTCTATTTGAGCAAGATACTAGACCAGTGTTATGGCAACATCCCAAATGCATACATCTCAAGGTCACATCCACCTCTTGGTAGATCAGACCACAATGTAATCTTACTACTACCAAAATACAGGTCACAATGGAAGACAGGGGAAGTGGTAACAAAAAATATCCAAGTTTGGAATGAGGATTCGAGTGAAGCATTAACGGGCTGTTTTGAAATGACCGATTGGGACCTATTTTTTAATGACAGTGGAAACAATCTGAATACGTTGACAGATGTAATGACCTCATATATTCTCTTTTGCGAAGAAATAGTCACAACTACCAAGCAAATAAAAATGCACCCAAACAACAAAAAGTGGATCACACAGGAACTTAAAATGTGCCTGGTGGAGAAGAGCGTGTGAGGGTGCTGGAGAAAGACTTTAACAGGAAAGCCATCCTTGCAAAAAGGAAACAAACACAGAATGTGGAGCACCAACTCACTTCTGGAAATGCACGAAAGGCATGGCAGGGCCTGAACATCATGATGGGAAGAGACTCTGAGACCCCGCTAGTCAACTGCCATGACTCCATCTCATTGGCAGAACAGCTGAACGTCTTTTTTGCCCGCTTCAACAGCGTTGGCCCGCTTTCCACCTGGGCCTCCCCCACCCACAGCCTCACTGAACCAGCACTGACCATCAGCAAGGAGGTGGTCAACACCATCCTGCACTGCATCAACCCATACAAGAGCTCTGGCCCTGATGGGCTCCATGGTAGGGTTCTGAAAGAATGCTCCACCCAGCTAGGTGGGGTACTCACCAGACTCTTCCAGCTCCTTCTGGACTTTGGCTGTGTTCCAGAGCAATGGAAAGATTCTACGATAATTCTGATCCCCAAGAAAGCTCATGCAAAAGAACTGGGGGATTTTAGACCTGTGGCCCTTTCATCAGTTCTGCACAAATGCGTGGAAAGGGTAGTGGGAGGACATCTGACAAAATTCATCTCAGACCAGCTGGATCCCCTACAATTTGCTTACAAGGCAAAATGTGGTGTAGAGGATGCAAGTCTCACACTTCTAAATGCTGTCACTAAACACATGGACTCTACACAACCATACACTATAATTCATGGATTTTTCTTCTGCATTTAATACAGTAGACACCAGCATTTTGCTGGGACAGCTTTCAGATCTCCATGTCCAAACAATGCTGCTTTTATGGATCCACAACTTTTTGAAAGACAGGCCACAACAAGTGTTTTTAAGAGGATTTAAATCCACGAAAAGTGTCATTAGCATTGGACTGCCACAAGGCTGTGTTTTGTCTCCAGTGCTTTTCTCAGTCTACACAAACAACATCCGGTGCCATAGTGAGAGAATGGCCCTGTATAAGTATGCAGACGACATGGCACTGGTGGCATCAGTGAAGACATCGGAGGACCTGTCTAAATATCAGCAGGCGGTCAGCAATCTGGTCCAGACATTTGAAGACTTTCACCTGGGGCTGAATATCTCAAAAACTAAAGAAATGTGCTGTGGGGCAGTCAGTGAGGCAGACACATCCCTGTTCAAACCCGTCAGCATACAGGGTCAGCCTGTGGAGCAGCTTCAGTCATTCCGGTATCTGGGAACAGAAATTGATGACCACCTGTCCTTTGCAAATCACAGCAATGGTGTCTACAAGAAAGCGCTGCAAAGACTCCACCTGTTAAGGAAGCTAAGAGCACTCAATGTGAACATGGACATCCTAACAATTGTATATGAATCACTGATTGAATCCATTCTAACTTTAAATATTACAGCTTGGTATAACTTTCTTACAGTTAAAAACAAAACACAACTCTCTCGCATTGTTAAATTAGGCAGAAAAATTACAGGTTCACCTCAGATCCCACTTTCTGTTTTTCACAAGCGAGCAGCACACAGGAAGGCTACCCTGATCAGTGTAGACTCAACCCATCCATTGAACCCACATTTTCAGTTACTTCCGTCACAAAGGAGGTTCAGAGTTCCATTGGCCAAGAAAGGTGTCTATAAGAAATCATTTGTTCCCACCGCAATTACAATTTAGAATTCTTAAAGGATTTTTTAAACGATGATAACATTCTAATACCTTTTAATTGTCTTTTTATGTACTTGTGTGAATGCAATATGGATTGTATTGTAAGGTGAGCCATGTCAAAGGCGAATTTCCGCCTCAATTCAAGGTGGACAATAGTTTATTTATCTATCTATCTTTCATTATTTTCAATCCATTTCTCTTACACCTAGTTTTGATATGAATTCCAAAACCTCCTCATTCAAGAATTTGTTACCAACTCCAGGAAAGAGAAACGCTGACCACAGCACACTTCGATTGTAGATTAGAGGTGAACTCTTTTTAACAGCAGAGCCACGAGTACACAGAGGAAATGATTTTCTTTTATTTAACTGCATCCGAAGATGAATATGTATTAGTGAAGCATTTCATCTCCTTTCCTGTGTCTCCTGAAACTCCCCCATCAGAGGTGACCTGTGTGGACATCATAACTCCTAATGGCTGCATATCAAACAGTGAACTGGCATTTATCAGAACTACCCAGCTCAAACGCAGCTTCAGATGTGGCGTTCTCGTTTAGGTATAAAGGGACGTAATATTCTATTGATCTTTGGGCACAAGGCTGCAGCTCAGTAAAAACTCAGTAAAAAAGAGCTGCTATGGCTTTGTGACAGCTGAAATGTGGAGGTATTTAACATGTTGCATGTGACATATGGCCTTGTCGGTAGGTGAATGTGTGAAACTATAGTTCATGTGTTTGATGAGAGTCTAATGTGTGTGTGTGTGTGTGTGTGTGTGTGTGTGTGTGTGTGTGTGTGTGTGTCAACCACAGGATGGATTTTAACCGCCAGATGCTCCTTCACATTAAGGGTCCTTCACATTTTGTGCTAATTGCGAAACTATTTTTTAAGCGCTCTTAAAAACAACAACAAAGGCTGACGTTATTAGCTAATGAATTATTGTAACATTATTAGCCCTAATTAGAAATGTGAACGTGCATTTCAAACATTTTAGCCCTTTTTGTCACCAAAACATAACTGATTTATCTATTATAAATCACGAAACAGAATGTTACAGTTTGATTATCGCAGTATGTAAAATATTTCCAGCAGCATTAATTTGTGTGCATTAACATTTTTGCTCAGTCTCTAATACTTTCATACTTACATCAAAATCAATCTACAAAATATTATAAACGACTGAACCTTCAGGATGTTTGTCTACAGCTGATTCACATCCAGAATCATTTCCACAGCTTAACAAACATTAACCTAACTTTAAATCTGTGGATTTTGAAACTAGACCAGACTAAGTAAAAATCTAGTAAGTATAAAATAAATTACTAGTGGAAAGAGACACTTGTTCATGTGTGCTTTGATCTGTGGTTTTCACACTGTTTTCAATTTCATTTTTGACCACTTTCAAAGGAATTTTCAAGCTTTTCCATCATTTATTGCTCAGATGAATCAACATTTGAGTTTAAAACCATTTTTCACCTCCTAATCTCTTAAAACTAACAATGTTTGTCATACAACAAATTTTAGTAACAATTTAATGAACTGTGCTAAAAAGTCAGATACTTTCAAAACCTTGAAATACGAATAAAACATGAGCATTTTCAAAGATTTAAAGCTCTCGCAAGAACCCTGTGTGTTATGTTTTTCTGTTTGTTTTCTTTATAAAAAGCATGACTGTATTCAGATTGATGGATTTACAACGTTGTGTTGAAAAACTGCCTCAAAACTAACTGAATTTGATTAGTTATACAATAAATAAAAGAAAATACAGATTAACTAGCCCTTTACAGGGCACTCACCTAAATATTTGAACATTTTAAATTTCAGGGAGGATTTCCCCCTTTTTTAACATGATTTGTTTTCCTTTTAACCAGTTTTCTGCACCTCAGCCGTACACTTGTAAGGACATGAGTCCCCTCCATGTTGGTGAACGCACGCTTACCTGATGATGACACTGGGGTCGTGTGTGACTCCACAGGTCATGATAGCTTTGGTACCTTTGATGACACTCTGGTCCTGTGGGGGGGTGGTAATCCGAGTGCGAGCTGTGGTGACAAATCAAAGATTTTAGGGAATAAGGAAGAGCCGACAAAGCTAAAAAAAAAAAGGCAAATGAATTTCAGAAAACTCATTTCAGTAGAAATGACGTGCTGGGGGATTGTGATTTATTTCTTGATGGCTTGTCAGAAAAAAATACACCTCAATGATTCCTTGAAATGAAAGAAGTAAAAGTGTCTTTCTTATAGATATTCTCACTGGAGATGCCTCTCAGATTTACTTTCCCTTACAGAACATCAGAAGTTATTTTTAATAAGATGCAAAAGTCCTTAATTGTGTCCTTTCCCTTACCCCACACTACGAGGTCAGCGGACGCCTCATCAATGCCCCTGGAGTTGCTCGCCATGCATGTGTACGTCCCGGCATCGGAGATGTGAGACGGAGAGATGAGCAGACTGCCAGACTCGAGCAGAGTGAACCTGGGCAGCTGTACTGAACCACTGGCCAACACGCGCTCACCTTCATTATGCAAACAGGCAGAAGAAAAAGACACTAATGAGAAAGGAGAGGGAAAATGTCAAAGAATGGAAGAAATGTTTTAAAAAATGAGCTATTGAGGGATTTAAGAATAGAAGCTGGTGGATTGTGAAAAACAAAAGGGAGTTTTTCCTGATCTTCTATTGGGATGCAACATGAAAATCCTTAAATCCTGCAAAAGGAATCTAATCAGAATATATTTGTTAAGCCACACAGTCTTGTGTGCAATGGATAACAGAAGTCATAATCTGTGTGTGTGTGTGTGTGTGTGTGTGTGTGTGTGTGTGTGTGTGTGTGTGTGTGTGTGTGAGAGAGAGACCTTTCTGCCAGGTTATAGCTGGTCTTGGAGCTCCAGAGGTTTCACAGTGCAGAATGACTGACATGCCATCGATCACGGTGCTGTCAGAAGGTCCGGCTGTGATGTTCGGTGCAATGCCTGAAGGGATACAAAATACAGACACATACGGAATAAAACGTACAGTCACAAGAGAGTGTGAGAGGTGAGAGGCACTCCAGCATTTAGTCAGTACCCTGTTCCAAATGACTGCACCCATTCATTACAGATTTATCTAAGCCCTACTTGCCTATTGCTACATTTGTCTTGTTTTTATGACTGCAGGTTAAAACTCTAACCTTTGTTTCAGTGAAAATAATTAGTAACATAAAGGAACCAAATGCAGGCGTCATTTAAGACACCTGATCCTAAAACGGATGCATCAATAAACCCTAACCCACAATTTAATCAACTATTAATCTTTTGAAAAGTCTTATGCCTTATTTATTTATTTATTTATTTATTCATGTATTTATTTATTGTTTGTTTTATTTTTCTTAGGTCATAGCGTGTTTGAGATAAGCAGAGCTAATGCACCAGAAACTGTCAAACTACATGATCTCTGCCTCAACAAAACCATTTTCAAATTGTTCAACAAGATTATATTTGAGAGAAAATATTTCTCTACAACTACACTTTTTTGATGGTTTTCTAAGCTGCTGCAGAGACAGCAACAGCTTCTCTCATTTCATTCACAACAGTGTTGTATTCAGTTTCAACATACAGTTTGGCCATCAGTAAAATATCAACAATGCTTAATATTTGATAAGTGAAGAAGGAATGCCTTCCGAAAAAGACACTTGGGGCTGGGGCACTTGTAGCACATTGTTTTCATTTTAGCCATTTTATGATTGAAGTTACATCAAGTTTCTTCTAGAAATCTAAGATATTTAACATTTTACTGAAACAACTCATCATTTTATGACTAATTCACATTCAAAATGGTTTTTGACAAGTTCCTTTTATGTTTAAATTATGTGAAATATATGTAAATGTCTTTTTTCTAATTTATGAAACTTTTTTAGTTAAAGCTGAAAAGTCCATTTCCAATTGGAAGAAAATAAAAACTGCCTAGAATATCCATTTTAATGGATGATAAAATGTCTTTCCATTCTTCATATGCTTTTCATAATATAGGTAATTAGTTTTTCTGCACACCACCTTTAAATGGTATGAACTAGTACCTTGTCTCAATTAGCATTAACAATGCAAACTTCTTACAGCTCCTGGTTCTAGCTTGTGTTTCAGTGGTCGAAGTGAAAGTTTTCAATATGTTAGTTTTGCAAAAATGTTCCTCTTTTCTTTAAACATCTTTGGTGTGGTCTTACTGTGTCTAGTTTCTAATTCCATTTTTGGTTCTTTTTAAAACACAGGAAAGGTTTCTCTTTACCTTGCTGACCGTTCCGTTTGCCGACTGCAAAACATCCTCAGAGCTGACCCTGATGGTGGCGTCACTTCCTACTCCGTTTATCCGCGGGCAGCAGAGGACTTTGTCGCCCTCTCCTGCCCGCTCTCCCCTCTCCGATGATGCAGTCCCATGCGCAATCCAATGTGTAGACACCATCGTCTCTGTTCATGGTCCCGCATCTACGTCTCCTTATCTCTATAGCTTCTTTTATCCATCTTTTGTATTTCTGTTGTTCGGTGTTTATGATCCTTGTGTTGTCCCAGTCCATTATATGGTTTTCTCTTGTGCAGTGATCTGTTATGGCTGACTTCTTTATTGTGCTTTCTGCTTCTTCTTTTGCTGCTCTTGTGTGTTTTCGACTTGCCGCTTTCTCACACTCCTTTCTGTGTTCTATTGTTTGTGTGTTAAGTTGGCGTCTGGTTTCTCCTATGTATGTTTTATTGCATATTTTGCATGGGATTTCGTAGATGACTCAACATTTTTGTCCAGCTGATATTTTGTCTTTTGGGTGCACTAGTCTGTTTCTAACTTTTGTGTATGGTTTTGTTGGTGTGTTTATGTTGTGTTTTTTCATTGCTGCTCTTATTTTTTCCATTATGCCTTTGATGTATGGTAGGGTTATCACTGGTTTTGGTTCTTGTCTTTCTGGATTTCTGGTTCTTTGCTTTGGTTGTTCTTTTCTTTCTGTTGTTGTTTGTTGTTTTCCTTCGTTTATTGCCCATGTCGGGTATCCGCAGGTCTTTAAAGTGTGTTGTATGTGTTTGTCCTCTTGTTTATGGTCTCTTTCTTCTGTTATCATGTTTGCTCGGTGATATAATGTTCTGATTACTGACATTTTGTGTATGGTAGGGTGTTCTGATGTCCATAATAGATATTGGTCTGTGTGTGTTGGTTTCCTGTATGTGTTTATGTTTAGGGTCCCGTCGGTCTGCCTGGTTGTTTTCATATCCATAAATGCTATGCTGCCTTCTGTTTCTGACTCATAAGTGAACTTTATGCTGCCCGTGTCATCAATGTTATTCCAGTGTTGTGTTAGTGTTTCGGTTTGTCCTTTTGGTATGATTTCCAGTATGTCGTCTACGTAGCGTTTCCATAATTTTATTTTGCAGTTTGGGGGGGGGGGGGGGGGGGGGGGGGCAGTGGCTATAGCTTTTTGTTCCAGGTCTTCCATGAAAAACTCGCACAGGGTGGCTGATAACGGGTTACCCATGGCGAAGCCTTCCAGTTGTTTGTTTATTGTGTTATCGTATGTGAAGTAAGTGGAGTTAGCTACCAGTCCTATCAGTTGTGCTATGCCATCTGCTGTGAGGTTTGTCCTTTTATGTAAAGTCTTGTCCTGTCTGATTCTGTTAACTACTGTGTCTATGGTTTTTTTTTGGGTTGGTGTTTTTGTGAACAGGGATGTGACGTCATGTGAGATGAGTATGTTGTTTCTTCTATTATAATCTTTTTTAGTTCTTTTGCCAAGTGACGCCACCATCAGTGTCAGCTCTGAGGATGTTTTGCAGTCAGCAAACGAAACTGTCAGCAAGGTAAAGAGAAACCTTTCCTGTGTTTTAAAAAGAACCAAAAATGGAATTTCCACTTTTCTATTTTCTTCCCTTTTTATCATTATGCATGTAAACACCATCTTTTTTTAGATCCTTACTGCCCACATGCACATTAAACCCATTTTAACTGATTAACTGCAAACATTCTGAATTAAAGTAAATTTTATTTAGTCTCTTGAAACTCAAGACAACTACCCAAGTCCACCTCTGGACTTTCATTCCCACCTAGAAACTTAGCAAATAAAAGGAAACACTGAAACACAATAGAACAACTAGAAAGAGAAAACATTTAAAAATTAGCTATAATCCCTGTTTGTGACACAAAATCAATCAAACCCTTTCTAAGACGACAGGAAAATGCATCTCTCCCAAAAGAAAGCAGGAACAGAGGGTTTGTTTCTGGAACACAGCGGATCTCAGGAAACAGGAGAAGTGGAAACATGCATGCAAGATGGTAAGATAAAATCTGGGGGATGGAAGAAAAGGAGAGGCAGTGGTGTCAGGGAAAGAGATGAAACTGGGGATGGAAAGAGTGATTTAGTGACTCTGAATATTATGAATTCTGATAACAAGGTGTGGAGTGAAAGCAGCAGGAAGTGCAAAGCAGTGAAGAAAATTACATGTCAGAAATTCACTGAAAAGACGCACAGCGAGAGTACAATTACCATTGATTTTCAAATTCCAGCAGTGACACGAGCTCAGATAAAAAATCTTCTACAAATTCACTCTTGTTTCAGAGATAAGGGAGATGCAGCAAACTCAGCTTCACTAAGTTGTTTTATTGGTCAATAAGTACACAGCTATCATCAGACATTCAATGAGAGCATGTCTGTACATTACACATTCTTTATGTATTGGAGTTCTTTAGTATTAAACAAAACATTACATTTTTCTTTGGTTTCTCACTATTTTTTTTATTATTTGTCAAAGCTTAATTTAAAACCTGGATCCTGATCCGTTTCTGAGGTTTATAAATTCAGATTGCTCAAACTTTGTCTAAAAGGAGCCCTACTACTTCTTTTCATTGTTTTAAGTCAGGAATATATATATATATTTCTAAGGCCTAGACAGCTGACAGAAATCATAATGCCCCCTAGTGGCAGGCTGCAGTATCAGCTTTAGGCCCCGCCTCCTCCACCTACAAGAATGGGATATTTTGCTGACAAAAAATATAAAACCATCACCTCAGACTATATATTTCTGATATATATATATATATATATATATATATATATATATATATATATATATATATATATATATATATATATATATATATATATATATATATATATTTTAGCATTTTTTATGTGAACATGAGTAGGAAGGACTTTCAGCCACACACTGGGGCCGTGCAAATTCTGGCTAAACGCAGCAACAACTAAACATTTAAAATGGAAATAAATGGAGATGTGTCATTCATCTATAAATATATCAAAGGCAATAAATAAATAGTTATTGTTACATCATTCTGTGATAACCTGCAAAGGAAATGTTTCTCAGTCACTAATACAGCAATAACGTTTTGAACATGTGATCAAATGGATGTATTTACATTTGTCCAGGTAAATAAACAAGAGGTAACAGTTTGATTTTCTGGTAATACCTGATATATATTGATTATGATAAAAGTGTTGCTGGCTTTAATCTCTCTCTCTTTCTTATTCAAGAATCATTTCCATTTCTGGGAAGTAATTACATCTTGTCATCTGAGAATATGACACAGCTTAGGTAAGCTAAATGAGGATTTAATGTGTTTTTGTGAAAGATATAAAAGCGTGTTTCAACAAAACATCCATATCAGCTGCATTATTAGTCACAACAGCATCTTACTGGTAACAGCCAGGTACGTGTTGGTCTGAACTTCTCCTGCCAAGTTTCGGGCAAAACACTGAAACATGCCCGTGTCGTCAGGCAGCAGCCCGTTGACCTGCAGGCTTCCTCCCACCAGAACCCGGTATCTGGGCATCTTCACCGGGTCGATGGGTAATGCATCCTTGTACCACACAATCTCTGGCTGGGGAACTCCTGCAGAGGGTCAAAAAGGATTACAGACAGTAAGTCTTATTCTTTGTTTTATGGCCCATTTCAGCATGAATTCATTGAAATTCAACAAATGTTAAACAGGTCTCCTCTGACAGGGTTTATCTAACAAGTCCTGACATTCTGACACTGAAATGAAGACGTATTTATGCACAGAGTGCTCACCCTTGGCTTGACAGGGAATATCCACCACCTTCTCCATCTCAGCTGTGATGTGCTTCTCTGGTTCCTTTACAAACTGTGGTGGCTCTGACAGAATGAAATAAAACATAAAACAGGAAGGAAATAGCAAACAATGGAGTTAAAGATGTTGAACAAGATGATCATTATGTGAGCTAAGAAAATATTACTTTAAATATCATAAAATGACAAAAAAAAGTCATAATTTTTTTCCTTTACAGAAAAAAGGGGAGAGCGAAGTCCTAGTCAGCAGTTTGGAGGGAAACATTCACTCACCTTCAGCTTTAAGTCACATCCCAACCTTGAAAAAACATCTAAGTGTTTCAGTGGGATGGGATCAAAGTGGCTCGAGCAATGCTATTAAACCGTTTCTTGAGGCCAACCATTAGTTTCCTCCATTTTAAATCAATAACGTTTTCCCGTTACTGCCTCACAACTTCACAGCTACGCTTTTGCTCGAGTCATTTACTGAAACTAGGAAGATTTGCATCGATTTCCTAACATTTCCTTACTTTGAGATTGAAAACCTAAATACAGAAGTTTTCCTTTTGGCCTATTTGTCTGTTTTTTGTGCATGTAAATGTTTGTAAACCACTCTATGTATATGATATGTATATATATATATATATATATATATATATATATATATATATATATATATATATATATTTCATATATGTGTGTGTGTGTGTGCGTGCGTGCGTGAAGACTCTGGAAAATGCGACTAAAAGGAATAATTATTCTATTTTTCCTTGTTTGCCAATAAATTGTAACTAGAAGTTTTGAATATTGCCAATGAAGCTCCTTCTTTAATTTTAAATTAAAGATTTTTAAAACATTTTCATTCATCAATAAATTCCAACTGTTATGTATAATTCAAATTGAGTTGTTTCACACAGCAAGTTTTAAAATATGTCTTTGTAATTTTGTACTTAAACATAAAACTAAATAGATATCATCTAATTAAAAAGAGAGGTAAGGAGACAGATGCTGAAAAAATCTTAACAAGAAATTGGGCTTGACAGTATTTTTACCTATGTATCAGAATTTCTTTTTCTAAATGACAACGTTGGAAATGGACCAAATAGCTGAGAACAAAAACAGAAAAACCAAAAATACAGGAAAAAATAAAGGAGGATCTTGTCTTACATTAAACAGAGTAAACCACCAAATATATTTAATGTTTGTGAGTTCACACTTAAAGGTGAAATCAGTCACATCATTTACATCTGTTATCTGTTTTATATCTGTTAACTGCTATGGAGTGGTTCTCCTCTTATCCTTCTGAGTGTTCCATCTCTATGGCCGTCTCCAAGTTTCAGTCCTCCTCTACGTCCCTCGCCCATGGTGTCCCTCAATGTTCTGTGCTGGGGCCTCTTCTGTTCCTCCTTTATCTGCTCCCTCTCAAGCACATCTCTTAATGGGTTCTTATTCCATTTATACGCAGATGACATCCAACTCTACATCTCCTCTGAGCCCCATGAGATGTCTGAGCTGCAGCTGTTACACACCTGCTTATTAAAGCCTGGGCCCTTATTTATCAATCGTACTTACGAACAGATCTGTGCATATTTTGTGCATGGGAACGATTTCATACATGGTGTGGTATTTACATATGTATACTTTTGCGTGAAAATGTTCTTCAAGATGATAACAGTTTTGACCATGCATAGGAACAGAATCTAGTGGTAGAACGGGGGAACCGCAGCATTGAAGGTCTCAGTCATCCATGCGTGTTCCTCATCCACAAATTATATTTATCCAGTAAGTAGTTATGTCGGTGGAAAAACGGCTTTTGCGTATTATTGGTGCTAAAACCAATAAAAGACACATGACCGACGAGAATCTGACATTATATCCTGACTCGTCTGTGTTATTGGAGGATTTCACAGAGCGTGCACACTGGAAGGAACGTGTTCTCCATGAGCGCATTGATCTCAAAGGAAATCCTTCTGCTATGCTGTGATTTGGGACCCTTTGTGGCATGTGAACGGACACGAGCACCTGGGTACACACATGTGGGATTTATCATTAGACAATTGCGGAGGAACATGCATACAAGAGGCCACCGCATGTTTCATAAATCAGTCTTTTGACTGTTCGTACTCACAATCTAAATTTCGGTCATTGGAGGAAATATAGGACAGTTTCTATGAACGTTTGATAAATGAGGGCCCTGGATGGCTGCAAACTTTCTACAGCTGAATGACGATAAGACTGAGATCCTCATCTCTGCCCCAGACAAGCTGGTTCCCAAAGTCAGAGACGCTCTTGGTCAGCTTGCTTCTCACACCAAAGCCTCTGTCAGGAATCTTGGTGTGACCTTTGACCCAGCTCTCACCCTGGATTCTCATGTCAGTTCTCTTGTTCACGCTTCCTTCTTCCATCTCAGGAACATTGCTAAGCTGAGTCCCATTCTGCCCCACTCTGAACTTGAGACAATTCTCCACACCTTCATCTCCTCATGCTTAGACTACTGTAACTCTCTTTTCACGTGTCTGAGCAGAACCTCCCTGAACCGTCTACAGGTGGTTCAGAATGCCTGTGCTCGGCTTCTGACCAAGTCCTCCAAACACACCCACATCACCCCGCTTCTCCTCCAGCTTCACTGGCTGCCAGTCAACTTCAGAGTTCATTTCAAGATCCTGGTTCTGGTCTTTAGGGCCTTACATGGACAAGCGCCACCATACATTGGTGATCTTCTCAGCAGGTCCCTGAGGTCCAGTGACCAAAGCCCATTGAATGTGCAGCACACCAGGCTAGAGACCAAAGGTGACAGATTTTTTAAATCTAAATGTGTCCATTTCCCCCATTTTTATTACAAATTTTTAAAGTAATTTTTAATTTTTGTGAAGCACCTTCGTAGCAAATGATAATCATGATAAAAATAAAAATCTCACCGAGTACATGCAGATAAGCTCCGGCACTGACTGAAGGCACACTGCTGCTCTGGAGGAGGGCCTCACATTCATAGAAACCAGCGTCACCCACCAAAGGACTAAGAATGGTCAGTCTACGGTTGAAGTCACTCAGACCACTGGTCACCAACACGCCATTTTTACGCCATGAGATACTCAGCTTTATCAGAGGCCTGTGGATGAAAATACAAACCATCAGATGGACTTTGTACACACACACACACACACACACACACACACACACACACACACACACACACACACACACACACACACACACACACACACACACACACACACACACACGCATACATTTATAAAATTTTTCTTCCAATAAACAATCCTTGAAAAGCTGATCATTACCTGGCGTTGGCCACACACTCCATGGTGACCTCGGAGGTGCCCGTGACCACACTTGTGTTCCTAGGAGGGATGATGATTGTAGGAGCAATGGGATCTGCTGGACCCCCAATATCTAGATAAAAATACACATTAACACACAGACATACAGAGTGTTTAAAGAGCATTTAGGGACTCTCCTTGATACTTGAGATTGGATTAGAATGTCCCGATAATAAACCAAAGCTCTGTACAATAACACTGAGCAAGCCAAAAGAGCAGAAACAGAGTATGAGACAAAAGACTCAACCTTTCTAAGCACATAGGATGTATTTAAGATGTACCGCACCATGTGATACAATTAAGTCAGGTTTGATTTAAACAGATTAAACACTGCAGGTGTGAAAAAGCATTAAAATAACCTTTAGAAACTTGTAAACCAATAATAGCATCTCACACATCTAAGCTGTAGTGAACAGAGCTAATTCTAATTAAATGTGACCACACTTTCTCACTCCTGCTAAAATACGAACATCTGCGGTTGTACATGAGTAAATTCCAAAGAAATAACCAAATTAAACCAAAAATCTGAAAAGGTGCATATTATTATTTAATTCCATGAGAGAACAGGCTTTGCCTCAGCTAAAAAAAAAAAAGTAAAGAAAAATGTTTTAACAGCCAAACTGTCCAAAATTACATTAAGATTTTTCACAAAGGCTCAGTCACATGAGCACGTGAAAGAAATACTATAAAAATAGAGCTGTTAGGCAAATCCTTAGAATCAGATTCTTTAAAGGAACCAGATCCCACAGATAGGGTGTGCAGATGTTGAGGGGTTATTTTGAACTCCACACATTTAATTTCATCTCACTGCTTTTTGTGTGAAACATCTTAACGCTAACTGATACACGAAACCAAGAACTGACCCTACATAGTCAAATATTTGTTGAAAAAAATCTAACCAAACAAAGAAAAATTGTATTTGACCAGCATAAACCAACACTGGGAGGAGAACAGACAACCGTGAGTCCATGAACCTGCAGTTTTGTAAGTTTAAAATCTGCAAACTAGTTTCCTTCACGTTGAATATGTGGTGATGCTATGAGCATCAGATGCAGCCCGTGGCTGTGAAAGCCTCGCCCGGCCATGTGCAGCTTGAGATGTGTCATGTCTGCGATAAACCTACAGCAATCTGTCCATCCCATCATGCCCTGGGACTGAGCTCGTGGCTGCACATGTCAGATGTTGCTACAGGGGCTGTCATGACTCAATAATACCAATCTCAGTCATGTACACCACACACACACACACACACACACACACACACACACACACACACACACACACACACACACACACACACACACACACACACACACACACACACACACACACACACACACACCTGAGAGAGGGGCAATGATTGACTGCTAGTCACCTGAAACACACTTTTCCGGACATACAATATCTTTACTACTTCATAAAACCTTTAAACTCAAAAATAAAAAACTAAAATATGCTAATTAGAGAACCAGAAGTCCCAGACCTGTTAGTACAGAGATGAAGTTAGGTTGTTAAGAACTGATTAGTAAAATGCTTTACCTTGTAAGTTTATTTTAGCATAATTCCTAAGTGAAAATAGCTAATCCACACTATGAAAAAGCTGAGGAAGCTTTGACAGAGTTTTGGGTTGTTAGGATGATGTTTTGTTAGCAGCCATCATTAGAAAAGGTCAGATGTTGTATATTTCACAGCTTTATGAAATCACTTCAAATCTTCCCTCATCTGCTGTCATGACACGTTAAACAGTCGGTCCGAAACTCTAAAAAGGACTTTTAATTGACATTCTCAAAGTGGGGGAAACAGTTTGGGTTGTAGTTAAATAGCAAGTCAACCCCTACCAGAGTATTACTCCACTCCCACTTCCTGTTTGAAAAATGCAGCAAATGCTGTTGCCTAACAGACTGAAAGGGAGGAGCCGCTTACAAATACACACACACACACACACACACACACACACACACACACACACACACACACACACACACACACACACACACACACACACACACACCACACACACACACACACACACACACACACACACACACACACACACACACACACACACACACACACACACACACAGGCTCACAGCGACATTGTGACATCATATGGTACCAGCTAACATTCTAGGGTAGCTCGTAGCCAATAGCGATGGCAGATTTAAATTCAACTGCAGCGCAGAGTTTTTACCTGACGACGGCACAACACTGACAATTTTAGGCAGAAAACTAACATTTTAACAAAAATGCACTAAAGTGCAAAACTATTGACTGCACGTGTCAGCAGCACGATTAGACATGCATTTATGTAGTTTATTAGGAAAAAAAAGTTGATGTGGGGGTGACTTGCTCTTTAAAGAGACAATGTGTAGGTTTTACCATTAACTCACTCACTGCCAGCCGTTTCCTGATCACTAACAGTCTTCGCTGCCAGCGTTTCTCACCGATTTTACTGTTTTTTAAGAGTCACAGAACATTGCGCGCTAGCATGACGTCGATGCCAAAACAACCAAAACAAAGAGGAGACTCACCTCTTACATCAGGAAGAAGCCGCGTGTTTCGAGCGTTATCCGTTCTTTCATAATCCGTTGTCGAATTGTGATCGGCAGACGCTTTTACGGTTCGCGCCTCACTTTTTTTTTACAGGAACGGCCCAAAACAATCTCCTAACACATGGATGTGTTGCTTCCTGATCATGTGATCTGTGACGTATGCGGATGAAGATCGACTTCAGGGCTGAGATGATTGTTCTGTCAGTGCGGGGGCTCATTCCGATGCTCAAACAGTAAAAAAATGCAAATGACAACTTTAGTCATCATTGGCAGTGAACGGTTGGATCTAAAATGACGACTTTAGTCGTCATTGGCAGTGAATGAGTTCATATCTGGAAATATCCATTAAAATGTTGATGAAAATTAACTAAATGATGTCCAGTCGTTGAAAATCATTGGCAGATTCGTAACGTACGTGCACGGGTCTAACATCTTTGGGGGACGCAATAGTCGACGTCATGTTTCCTTCTGGCCGGCTAGGTGTCCTGCGCTTGCCGATGACATCACACTAGATGACTGCCTGTATGCACAACTTACGGAAGTTAAGTTACCACGTTCAAAAACATTTAGGTACTGAGAAACACAATTTTAATAACAAAACTACTAAACACGTTCCAAAACATATGTGAAAGAACAGAATCAAAAAAGGGATACAATATATTTTGGCCGAGTGGTATTGCCATAGTTCTACGTCATTGGCAGGCGCAGGACCTCGAGCAGATCTGGAACCTACAGCCCCGACAAACTAGCATCAGCATTGCATTCTGTCCATGGAATTAACTGAAGGACTTTGAAGGACACCAACGTATGAGGAGTCACGCCGAGGTCACATGCTTTCTGCTCCACAGGTAACAACTTTTACCGTAAGGTTTTTTTTTAAACAAACAAACAAAAAAAGAAACACATCAGAAGTGTCACTGCACAAACATACATGGACACACATACAAAACTTCATGTGGCAAATTGCAAACGAACATGTACACACACACACACACACAAATGAATGCATGTAAGCATGCACACACACCTCTCCTGCAGCAGCTTGCTCATGTATGTGTGTGTGCATGTGTATTAAGCACACGGGAAACATTTCCATCAGACCTGCAGAGTTGGGACCTCCTGCTAGGCTCTCTTTATAATCTGAATTTTGTTGTGTTGGCGCGTGTGTGGTCTAGCACTTGTATAATCAACTCTGCCATCGCTCTCAACATGTGCCACAGGCTATTTCTGCTCGCCCGCATTGTCAACTGTAATATTTTACCCTTGTCCTCCTCATTCACTTTCATAATGAACACCAGTCTAGCATGTCATAAGGCGCTGTCTGTTTGGTTTCCTCTTTCATTTTTCTCTACTGAGCTGAGGTCGAATTGCTTCGATTATTGGAGCCCAGTTGTTGCTGTGGAGGCTAAGATTGTTGCAGAATTTTAAAGACTACTTGGTGAGGAAATAGGTTGTTTCTAATTTCTGTTACTATGTGTGAGCCCGCTGCCTGTGAGTAGCTATGTACTCAG